AGGGTTACACACTCACACACGCACACGTCACGCACACACACACACACACACACACACACACACACACACACACACACACACACACACACACTCACGCGCGCGTTAGTCATCTTAACACCAAAATCAGCTCTCTTGTGGCCTCAGACTTTGTCAAAATAAATAAAAGACAATTAAAAATCTATCTTTGAAAGCACTCCCAATACAAATGTGTGTGATTATAGGGGTGTTCACACGGCACACATTTGCATCGGTGCTGCACCGATGTATTTTGTTGCGATATATCTTACACCGGTGTAAATTTTGTGGAGCGTTCACACGTAAAAAGAAGCTGCTTACTAAAGAGAAGCGCGTTAACCCCGGTGCAGCCCCACTTGCGTTCACACGGCAGTTTCTGCGGCTGTGCGATACGAAATAAAACATACTTCCTTTTCCCCGCCTTTTTTTGTGACATACCGAAATACCATGGTTTATACTTCTCCAGACAAATCAACGCTGTGGTCTATCAGACACTGTAAAAGGATGAGAGAGAGAGAAAGGAAAGAAGCGCAAAATACCAAGGATGCAAGTTATGCAATACCCGTATGTCATCAACTCTTCTCACGCGTAGCGAGTCTACCCCTGTTGCGTTCACACGTCCCATTGTGCTGCCCCACAAACTAGCATTTACTCCGGAGTAAATTTTTAAACCACCTCCTGAGCAGGGTTAAATTTGCTCCGGTTTAAGCTGCTTTCAGGGGCTACACCGGTATAACTTTGTCCGTGTGAACGCTCTACGGGGGGCAGCCCCGGTGGTACACCGGAGTAAAAGTTGCCGTGTGAACAGTCCTTCTGTGACAAGAGCCTTCATGGTGTTTTTTTTTGTTTTTTGTTTTTTTTATTCAGAAGCTTCATTCAAGAGCAGTGACATTGAGGATGCTGGTATTTTCTATATTCTGTCTGCTGCCTGAACACCTCGTATGGCCTCTTGTTTTTCCGACAAGGCCACTTGCATTTTGGACACTTATTCGGTACAATAGGGACACTATCTCATGTTAATCCACAAAAGATGCGTTGACAAAGATAAGTTTGTGTTTTCCCCACATTCCATGTGCTCCCTGAATGCATTGGATGTGTTAGCTTGTTCCCGAACAAGTTTTGGCCACTGTATTAGGTACCCAATGTAACATGGCGATAACATGCAGTCTTTTACAAAGATCATGTCTTCCATTCATTCTGGTCCATTAAATGCCTTGTACAAAATAAATTTCCAGTGGAAAAAAAAATGTACTTATTTAAAACGTGACTCTTTCTTTGAAATATACTTTGTCAAAACAGTGTTCATGTGTTGGTGGGGGAATACAGGGGGAATACTTCATTATATTTCTCAAAATCAATGGTTTTGGGGGGAAGAAGGTTTTTTTTTTTTGCACGTGGATTTTTTTTCGAAACATTGGGAAAAAATACATTTTGGTCTATACATAAATATTGAAAGAAATATAGATTTATTGTTGTTTTACTTCCTAAAAATATCATTTGTAATCGTTTTTAAATGATTTTTTTTAATCTAGGGCTTTTTTTTCCTGAAAAAAGACAAATACTTATCAACCTTCTAACAGTAATAATTATTAGAATGATATTAAAGAGAATTAAATTAGAAATAAATTAATAATCGTAATCAGTCTTTAAATATCCTGACATGTGATCACATAAATTTATCTAACTTAATCGTATATCATAAAGATCATAAAAATACATGAAGCAAACAAGACTTTTTTACTTCACTAAATGTAAGGAAAGACAAACTCACGAACAAAAAAAAAAAAGTAAACAAAATAAGGTCACTGGTGAGCTTTTAGTATTCGGATTTTTTGTTCTGATTTATGTTGGTCAAGCCCTCATTTCTGCATTTTGAGCACGTCGCTCTCTTATTTTTGCTCTTGAACTCATTACTATACTGTTGACTTTGCTAATGACATTCCTCGCTAATGGCCCGATTGTATTCAAGATGTGTGTGTGTGTGTGTGTGTGTGTGTGTGTGTGTGTGTGTGTGTGTGTGTATTGGAGCGCCAAAGCTCTTTGAGTTTGATTGACGTGGCCGGGACCCTCCTCGGGGGGCGTCGCCTCCTCTCGCTTAGCCTATAAAAGACTGTAGCCCGCCCACCGAGCGACACATCGCGCACCCTAACGAACACACACTCGCACACGCTAGAACTCAAGAAGCGGGAGCTCGCAGGCATGACTCGATGCGGTTCTCGGGTGGACTGAGGCGCGTCCATCCGGCCATGTCCCGGGGCGCGCTGTTCCTGTGCCTCTTCACGCTGGCCGTTCACCGCTCGCGTTGCTGGGGCGCCAAACCCCTGCAGTGTCAGGAGATCTCGGTGCCCATGTGCAAGGGCATCGGCTACAACCACACTTACATGCCCAACCAGTTCCACCACGACACACAGGACGAAGCCGGCCTGGAAGTGCACCAGTTCCTGGCGCTCGTGGAGATCAAGTGCTCGGCGGACCTGCGCTTCTTCCTGTGCAGCATGTACACGCCCATCTGCCTGGAGGACTACAAGAAGCCCCTGCCGCCTTGCCGGAGCGTTTGCGAGCGCGCGCGAGCAGGATGCGCGCCCCTCATGAGGCAGTTCGGCTTCCCCTGGCCGGACCGCATGAGGTGCGAGCTGCTCCCGGAGCAGGGCCAGCAGGACCGATTGTGCATGGACTACAACCAGGACCCGAGTCAGAGCACCGGGGCGTCCACCGGCGCCGGCGTGGCCACGAGCGCCGCGCCGCCCACCAAGCGCCCGCCTCTCAAGCCCTGGAAGAAGGGGGGCTACAAGCACCACACGCCGCTCGTGGTGCAGGCGGCGGCCCCGGCGCCCAAGTGCCCGCCGCCGGCCGACTGCGCCGCGTCCGCGTCCTGCCACAGCCCTTTCTTCAGCGCCGAGGAGCGCGCCTTTACCGCCTTCTGGATCGGTCTGTGGGCGGCGCTGTGCTTCGCGTCCACGCTGATCACCGTGGCCACCTTCCTGGTCGACATGGAGCGCTTCAAGTACCCCGAGCGGCCCATCATCTTCTTAGCCGCCTGCTACCTGTGCGTATCGGCCGGCTACCTGCTGCGGCTAGCGGCGGGTCACGAGAGGGTGGCGTGCACGCGCCAGCACGGCGTCGAGCACGCGCAGCAGGCGAGCGCCGGCCCCGCGCTCTGCACGCTGGTATTCCTCCTCGTTTACTTTTTCGGCATGGCCGCCTCCATCTGGTGGGTCATCCTGTCCCTGGCTTGGTTCCTCGCCGCCGCGCTCAAGTGGGGCAACGAGGCCATCGCGGGCTACGCGTCCTACTTCCACCTGGCCGCCTGGCTCCTCCCCAGCATGAAAACCATCGCCGCGCTGGCGCTCGGATCCGTGGACGGGGACCCGGTGGCAGGCATCTGCTACGTGGGCAACCGCAACCTAGACAACCTGCGCGGCTTCGTCCTTGCCCCCCTCGTGGTCTACCTGCTGGTGGGCTCCATGTTTCTGCTGGCCGGCTTCGTGTCTCTCTTCCGCATTCGGCGCGTCATCCGTCGCCAGGGTGGCGGTGGCGCGGCCAAGGCGGACAAACTGCAGCGGCTCATGGTTCGGATCGGGGTGTTCACGGTGCTTTACACGGTACCGGCCGCCGTCATCGCGGCGTGCTACTTCTATGAGCAGCACAACCGGCAAGCGTGGGAAGCGGGCTACAGATGCGGGTGTCCCCCCTCCTCCGGCGACGGCGCCGACGCTCGCCCCCCGCGGCCGGACTACGCCGTGTTCATGCTCAAGTACTTCATGGGGCTGCTGGGGGGCATCACGTCCGGCGTGTGGGTGTGGTCCGGGAAAACCCTGGATTCGTGGAGGACGTGGTGCACGCGATGCTGTTGGAAGAGCAAGACGTCGTCGGCGGGAGGGGGGTCCATGTACAGCGACGTCAGCACCGGCCTCACCTGGAGGTCCGGGACCGGGAGCTTGGTGTCGTTTCCCAAGCAGGTGCCTCTGTCCCGGGTGTGAGGTGGTGGGACGCTCACTGAGGGGACACCGACCTGCTTTTTCGTCCTGATTACGCCATCGAGGTCACTCGGGTCCACATTGCCTTAAAACGGACTCATTACGGGTTTGCATCGCGCATAAATGGGGGTATTTATCTAATTATAATGTACAGATCATGTAATTATGTATAATTGTCACTTTGATAGAAGAGTTTATTTTGAATAAACAAAAACATTTGAATTGAAGTTTGATCCAGACTTCTGCTCATTTTCATAGACTGTAGAATGGTTGACCATCATATTCGATATGCTTGCAAGATAATGACGATTATGTTCACTTGCGATTGACAGGTGTTAATGTCACTTTTAGTTTATTATGGTGATTCAAAAATAAGACTAATTTCAAGTCCATTATATCTAACATCGTGAAATGTATTTGACAGTGCTCATCAAACTACGAATTGTGAGCTTTAAAAAGCACAAGTTATTGGATCTGGTGGTGTAAGAAGTGGCCAGTGACTCTTTTTAGTTTCATTAAAATATTAAAAGTGGTCCGAAATCAGTCACTTCAGAGAGACAGCAAAAGTCACCTCAACGTTTTGTTTCCAAGTTATTTCACAAATAACCGAAACAAACTGCACTTTTTTTTATGACTGATCTAACGCTGTCGTCTCAAGTCTTTAAATATCTTCCTACCTGTTAACCTCAAATGGCAAATACGTACTTTATAATTGTCATACATGTTGAAAATCCATTTAAAAACTTAAAACGTGTAAAGACAATATTGCAAGATGAAGCTGAAATGATGTTGTGCTTCCATCTAGTGGTCAAAATGTGAACAACATGTGCTCCAGTACTACAGTGTCACATATGTTGCACGACGACCTTCTCTCGTCTATTGAACAATAACTTCAGTATTACCAGATTTAGATTCCAGTTCACAAAATCAGGACAGACTTTTCAGAAAATTCTCAGTCGGGTATTGTTTCAAGACAGAAGAGTGACAAAAAGGCAAAAAAAAAACCGACACAATCAAAGCTTTAATACGGTGTACACACACGCAGGCAACGGACACACAACTCTCATGCACAGTAGTTTTCACGCGTCGTGACATATTAGCAGCAACAAAGACAAAACAAGAAGAAGATAAAGTTACATGTGTAGTGCGCCATACAGTACATCATTCGGAGTGCATATTTCAGTGATATATAGATATATATTCCAATCTGCAATAAATTAGAGTAACAGCTTGTGATTTTCAATTTGTGTGTGTGTGTGTGTGTGTGTGTGTGTGTGTGTGTGTGTGTGTGTGTGTGTGTGTGTGTAGAATGCGCCTAAGTTAGCAACAGCCAATGAGACGCTCAGATGGCAGTTGAGGGGTCGCCCTCTTTGGCCCGGAAGCGGCCAACGTGCTCCAACTGACCCGAGTCGGACACGTCGTAACTCGTCTTGTATTTGGCCAGGATCTTCATCAGGGGGCGGAGCTTCAGCCACCACTGCTCCTTGGGGATCCGGTGTCTGAAACAGCAAGTAACTGTATTTATTTCCTGTTTGACGGATCAGGCAGTGGGCAAATGTACTCTTTGATGGCCTCTTCAAATCTAAAATGGCTGCATAGTGTGGGTCTCATGACTACCAAATTTCACGTTGACAAATGAAACTGGTTTGGGAGGATGAATTAAAAAAAAAAAAAAACAATTCATCAAGAACCCCTGTGGCCAAAATGCCTAAAATGGCCACTTTGAACCACAATAGCAGACTTCTTGTGTGTTTTCCAATATGGTTTCTTGACTTTAAAAAAAAAATGTCCACCCATGACAGACTTGTCTACCAAATTTCACGGTGGTTCATCAAACTACCATTGAGGCTGATTTCTCAATTATAGTTCATTTCAAGGAGAAGTTAATGTATTAAGAACCCCATCAAAAATTGTCTTGAGTCTTTTCAGGCATGGCTTCTGGAGACTTTTTTGTGGGTCTACTCATGACAGTCTTGCCAACCAAATTTCATGTTGATTAGTGAAACATGCTTCAGGGGTTGAATTTAAAAAAAAAAAAATTGTGGTTGACTTACCAGTAGGATCCCTCACAATATGACAAGTAAAGTTTCTTACTCAAAGTCGGTCTCCTGTTTGAGCTGCGCCACAGGCTGGAAGACCATCGCACGGCGTCTCATGCCCAGCAGACAGGCGCTGTCCTCGGAGTTGGCGAATACTCGGCCTGTGTGTCGAAAGATTAAACAATATATGAAGTGTTTGAGTTTCAAACTTGCTGCTAAGACATCCGCTCCGCCTTTTACCTCCTTTGTAAGACTCCTTCATGGTCTTGGTGAGCCACTGGACTGCTTTAGCCGCCACTTTGGTGCCAAAGTTTCTGTCAAATGGAGACGGAGCGCCACCCTGTGGATCATTCAAGAACATTTAGTGTGTGCGTGTGTGTCTGTGTGTGCGCAGTAGACATAGACTACCACGCACCCCTATTTGAGTGCCAGATTTTGGGATTAAAAAAAATTGAGACCGAGAAAAATAATTAAAAAACACTTTTTCACGATTGAAAAAAAAAAATCAATATTTTCAATATTTGAAGTAGAAAGAAACAACTGAAATAATGAAGTTGTACAAGTACGCTGGCCCCCTTAGAATTAATTAACCCATCACATACACACTCAAGTCAGCACGCACGTGCCACCATCTAAAGTGCCTCTGATTAACCTCCAAATTAAGTTCAGATGTTCTAGTAGGCTTTTTTTTTAAATGACTATTTTTACTTTCAATTGAGATGGACACATTCACTGTGGAAAATATTTCATCATTATGCCGATGATGATGACTATGATTATCATCCATCTTGCTTTTATTTATTTATTTATTTATTTTAATCACAAAAGTCTGCCATTTGTACACGGGTGTGTAGACTTTTTATATCCGCTGTACGTGTGCTGTACCTGCTGCATGTGCCCCAAAATATTCTTCCTGCAGTCAAACACTCCTCGACCTTCCTCAGAGTAAAGCTGGTAGATGAAGTCAGTGGTGAAGTTTTCATTGCAGTTCTCGTTCCTACACACACACACACACACACACACACACACACACACACACACACACACACACACACACACACACACACACACACACACACGCGTGCATTTTAAGGTGCTCCCCTTAAATGTCCCAACAGGAAAGGTGCACCTACTTCTCTCGCAGCCCTCACCTAAGCACCAGACCTCTCTGGATGGTGGTCTTCATCTTTTCCGTCAGATGTTCCACGTTACCCTAAAAAAGAACAACAACCAGTTTGGCGAAGCAACATGAAATTTGGTTGGTCCGCCTATCACGAGTAGACCCACAAATGGTAATTTGCGGCATTCCCAAGGGTGCTTCTAATTCTTTGAAAATTCATCCCCCAGAGCCGGTTTGACTCAACAGCATGACATTTGTGGGGCATGTCAATCATGAGTTGACTCACCAGTAAGACTTAAGAAGCTTTGCCAGAATAGACACTGCAAGTCTTGCACATTGTTTCGAAGTGGGCATTTTAAAGTCATTTCCAGCTGTTCCACCATATTGTTTTTTTCCAACTGCTACCCAATTTTTAATGTTTTTTTTTTAATGAGTGACTATAGAACACGTGAGCTCCACCGGGACCTACCTGCAGGTCTCGGATGTCAATGGGTTCCTCGTAGATGTAGACGGTGTCAGCGCCCGCCGCCAGCCCGCCCACAGTGGCCAAGTAACCGCAGTAGCCCCCCATAGTCTCGATGATGAAGACCCTCCGCTTGGTACCGCTGGCCGACTGCTTAATGCGGTCGCATGTCTGCCAACAACCAAAGAATTCATTTTTCAAAAGTGACAGGGAGCCAAGTCAAGTGGACGAAATGTGGGGCGGGGGTCATTCTACCTGGTGAATTTCAAAAATAAAACTTCATTTGTGCATAGAAATTAAAGTGACATTTTTTTTTTACCTGTTGCGACCCATGCGAACAGTCGAGCCCAGTTACCATGGCGACATCACATCAACAAAACACCAACAAGTCACAGCAGGCAACGGTCGGAAGTTGCGACGTTACCTCCACAAGGGCGTTGAGGGAGGTGTCGGCGCCGATGCTGAGGTCGGTGCCGGGCACGTTGTTGCTAATGGTGGCGGGCAGCATGCACAGCGGCACGCAAAACTCCTCAAAGTGCTCGCGAGCCTCATACAGCTGCAGGACGGACTCCAGGGCCTGACGGACGCCCGCGTGACTTATTATACTTCTTGTCTGTTTCGATTTGTGAGGCACTTTGTGGCATACTGGTGCCAGTTTATTTTGTGTGTGTGTGTGTGTGTGTGTGTGTGTGTTTTCTTGATTATCTTTGTGGCCTAATCATGTGCGTGTTCATGTCTTTCAATCTCTGAGTGGCATGATCATGCGTACCTTCTTGTTCTTGCTATCTTGGTGTGGCACAATAGCGTGTTGTAACATTTTGGCTAGCCCACACACGCGGTGTGCGATTGTGGTTGCGTGTGTGTCTTTATGTTTGCATTGGCTCTCTCCGCTTGACAAGTGAGCTGACGTCCTATTGGCTGAAACTGCTGGGAGCACCGGGTCAGGACGGGGGTGATGGCATCTGTCAACACGTGACCTGATAACAACACGCTCCCGTTTTAGCTAGACTGCATGGAAGCCATTCCTTAAACGTTGCATTCCCGCCACATGCACGCCCACACGTTGAAGTACACGACAACCTCCATCCCGCACACTTGTTCTTTGTCTGCTGTTGACCAAACAGTGAATCCAAGGTCACAAGAACACAACAGTGGATGCGACACATTTACCTGAGGTTAGCTTGATGCCACTTGCTCACTTTTGAATTCAATTTAACCCTTTCACGCACCCTGTAACCTGATAACATCATAAGCTGTCCACTGTAGTAACCGTTGTCCCCGAAAGGGTTAAATGACCTTTTTGGCTCTTTTTGTTCTGGGGTCACTGATTTAGCCAAAAGAAGACCCTGCCAAGCAGGCGTAATACTTCTTTGGCAGTTCCAATCAGATCCGATTCGTTCCAGGAGCTGCGTTTTGTTTACATGACATCTTTACATCTCAGCATTTACGAATGCTGGTGTTGAAACTAGAAACACTGCAGCAGCTTCACTTTCTTTGCCATTGTTATCATGCAGTTGTTTTAACTAGTCCAACAAAAAAAAAGAAATAAAAATCATGGTGTCTGCAGCTCTTACATTTGAATAGAAGCAACGCTTATGGAAAAGTACAACATTTGATTTCTCTAATACTTAAAATGACCGACTAAGATTTGTCTTTGAATTAATATTAACCCTTTCAGGGACGGCGGTTACTACAGTGGGCAGCTTATCAGGTTATCTGGTTACTGTGTGCATGAAAGGGTGAAAAATACATCGCAAAACTACAACACTGGACAAATTGTTATTGTAAAAAATGAAGTTCTCTTTTTTTTTCTTCTTCTTCATTGGCCAGCAGGAAAAGCTGCCAGAATGTCAGTCCAGTCGATGAGAAATTAGGATGTATAAGGGATCTTAAGTTAGTCAAAGGCTGCTGGTTTCAAGCCAAAGTCATTTTGGGGGTTGAACGGAATACCGATCGAGTAGTCTCTGAGTCCACCGAGTGATGACGGACAAATCCACGCGGTGGGAACAGTTTTGAACTGCTGCGGCGCCTGTTGTGAGCTGTCAATCATCAAGCTAGACAGCTGTCGCGTCGAGCCCGACACACACATGCACATGCACACGCATACGTACGTGCACACATGCACGTGCACGACCATCCCGACTTACATCCGTGATGGCGTTGAGCGCCGTATCGGAACCGATGCTAAGGTCTGAGCCCGGTATATTGTTGGATACCGTGGCGGGGACCATCACCATAGGCACGCACAGCTCGCCATATTTGTCCCGTGCCGCCGAAAGTTCCAGCAATCCCATGTAGGCCTGCAACGGTGACAGCCGGCATCCCGTTGGTTGTTCGGAGCGAGGGGGCGGGGCCAACGACAGGTCCATTTGCGTGGACAAAGAAGATGAAGGCGGTGACGTTTACAACTGCAGGCTCATTTATGCTCTAACCCACTTCTGGACTGAGTTTTTAGGTTTGTTTAAATGTTAGACTTGTTTTGGGAGACTTTTTTTTGTGGCTGTCTTCCTGATGTGCATAAAATATCATGATGCCAAGTGAATTTTCTTCAGGAGCTGCGTTTTCAAAAGAATTCCAATCAAGCCCGACAATGGCCCTAAATGACAGACTTCCTGTGACTATTTGGTTCCTAAAGGATTTTTTGTGGGTCCACTTCTGTGATAGACATGCCTACCAAATTTCTTCTTGCCAAGTAAAACTGATTTGCGGGGGCTGAATTTTCAAATCATTTTTGGAGCACGATCAAGAGTCATCAAATTTCACTGAGAGAGCAACGAGAAAATGCTTGCAATATGTCCATGTTATTTGGGATTACATATGACAATTTGAATTTTTGGTATCATGGTTGACATGCTTGATTTGCATTTGTGGACCACATAAAATGATGTGGCGGGCCAGATCTGGCCCCCGGGCCTTGACTTTGATATCTGCGGTTTAGCATGAATGAGTTTTAAGTGGAATTTGAAGATAAACGCCAAAGATGAGGTCACAGAAAGTTCCAGAAGAAACCAAACACAGTTAGCAGCTAAGCTACGCTATCAAAAGGGCTAAAAACAACAATGATAGCATTGGCTAGCTTAGCTTGCGACCTAAACGTCATCCACCTGAAAGACAAACCAGCTACCGAGTAGCGTCTTCATTCCCTTCAACAAGCAAATCATAGAGGGGGTGGCGTGCAACGATGGGAGGAGCCAAGGGGTAGAGAGCCAATCACAATACACACACACACACAAACACAAAACACCCAAAAAAGAGAAGGTTGGACTTCTGTCTTGAAATCATATTCCTAGCTTGAAAGCCGAACGCTAGCGTTCAAACCCGAAATGGAAAATCTAGTTTGAAGCTCAAACTTGAATTTGAAACCCAGTCCCTTGCGTGAAACCCACATTTGAAACTACCCATGTCTTGAAACTGAAAAGTGAAACCTTTAAACCTTGTTCGGAACCCACATTTGAAAGCCGAAACTTGTTTTAAAACCCTAACCCCAATTTGAAACCGCAACCCCTTACTTGAAGCCATCTTGAAACGCTATTTTGAAAACCTAACTTAAACTTGAACCCTGTCTTGAAAAACCTCACTTTGATATCCTAACCTTTATTTGAAACCTTAAAATCCTACTCCTGTCCATTTGAATGTTTGAATTGAAACGCAGCGAGATCATGCGATATTGTTGTGTGATTGTCATTCACGACAAGTCAAAGAAGAAGAACAACAATGCAGAAATATGTCAAATGAGCAAACGTCTCATAGCAGATCATCTTCTTTAGCATTGTTCTTAGCATTAGCTTTGTGCAAGCATCTTTTTTTTTCTTTTTTGGCGTGGAGTGGCGTTACCTCAAATCCGCCGATGACGAGCAACGCGTTGATGTTGTGGAGCGCCATCTGTTGGGCGATCTGCTCCAGATGTTTCCCGGGAAGTGTTCTGCATCAGAAAGTGGAGCAAAAATCCACTTTATAACATCTCAACATGGTAGATGAACCCACTCAAACTCGTTTTTTTTTTCTTCAAACTGTGACGACGTCTACCTTTTGGTGCCGAGCAGCGAGCCTCCTTGTCCCGTCCAGCCTCCGACGTCGCCCCACTTGATCTCCTTGATCTGATTAAGGTGCGTGCAAATCAATGACAAAAGCAAATCAATCAATAAGATCGCAATTGTTTTTTTTTTTTTTTTTTTTTTTTGAAAACTTAACCCTACATTCAAACCTTATTTTGAAAGTTGAATCTTATGTGAACTTGAAACACTTAATTAAGGCTTGAAATCTCAAATTTGAAACTTTAAACTTGCCTTGAAACTGGCTTAAAACCCTAAACCTTTCTTTGGTACCCTAACCGTGTCTTGAAAGCCTAATCTTGGCGTCAAACCCACATTTGAAACCCTAACCCTTGTTTGAAAGCCAAATTTGAAACGGTAAGCCTTTTTTAAAACACACATTGGAAAGTGTAACCCTTGTTTGAAACCCTAATTGTGATTCTCCAAATTATTTAAAAAAAATAATAATTTCATTATTCATTATCTCATCTGATTCGTTGACATGACGATTCCAAGCTGGGACGTATTATGACACCGCGATGGCGTCCGTGCTCTTCTGCTTATCTGAACTTCTGGCGCCATTTGTCACGCTGACCTGTGAGGAATGTCTCTTCCGCCGGGGTTGAATTTAGCTGCTGCTCATTAGCTCGCATGCTAGCACGCTAAGTTTAAAGCTCTGACCCCGGGTGGGCTTCGCAGTGCAGAAAGTGAGGAAGAAAGACCGCCAGTCGGGTGACGGCTTCGCTTTTGCTTGAGTTCCGGACTGCCGCATTAAACTTTTGCTAGGCATGTCGATCATGAGTGGACCCACAAAAAAAATCTCAAGAAAGCCATCGTCGAAAAGACATCGTAAGCCTGCATTTTGATTTGAAGTAACAATTTTAGTCTCATTTAGATCATTTCCAGGGTTCCTTTGAATGTTTAGAAAATTCAAGCCCTGAAGCCAGTTCGCAAATTTGACTTGCCAACATGAAGGTTGGGAAGCAAATTTATCAAGAGTAGACCTAAAAAATAAAAAAAATTAAAAATTCCAAGCTGTCATTTGTGCCATTGGGGCAGGCTTTGATGACAAAACCGAAAATCCTTCTTAAGTCAACGCTCCCCATCGGAAGTCTGAAAATGAAAGTTTTCCAGTTTAGCCCGACCTGACTCCACATCTTCCAATCTCTTACCTGACCCTTGTAGAATCCCTCGAAGCCGTCGCTCACCGCAAACATTTTGTGGCCTTCGGTAATGCCCACCCGGACGGCAGAGCGCACGGCGGCGTTCATCCCGGCGGCGGGCGCCCCGACGTTCAACACGGCCACGTTGAAGGAGCTCTGAAAAACAACAATACGGGTACTTGTCGTTTTTCAGATCATGAAAAAGGCCAGATTTGGAATTGTCTATGCTGACCATTCCAACTTTAACTCGGATCAGAACCAGGCCCGCATGTCCTGATCCGGGCATGCAATCGTCTGCATGCTGCCACAAGATGCAACCAAGCAGCAGAGATTCCAAAACTGTCACTCAAAAGCGCACGCCTCGAGTACACACACATCCGATGTGTGGTCGAGGCCCATTTTGGCACTCACGTACGATATGATGGTGTTTCTCATCGCGCAAACCAGACCCCCAAACATCTTCGCGAGGGGCCCGAGCGCAAAGCAAAAGAAAACGTGAAAAAAGGAAAGCGTCCAGACAAAACTGTGTCAAGCGTGTGAGAGCACAGCCGGCTAGCAGCGATTGCTAACGTGCGCGTCTTTGCATGTCTGTCATTTACCATGCAAAGACAAAAAACACGGACTCGGCAGCATTGAGCACGTCCGACCGATTGTGTTGTTATACAGCGGAGCCGCCAAAACGGAAGCGAAAGATATCGTAAATAAAACGACTCACCTAACTCAAGCAATTGCTACAATTTGGAATTTTAGTGAAATTTGTATGTTTTCTTTGGTTATCGTCATCATTTGGTTCGCTTTTGTGATGGCATAAAAACAACAACAACAACAAGACAACGTTAAGACAAAGATATAAACAAAAAAGAACAACACAAAACTAAGACAAACTCAACACAACACAAAAATGTGAGAAAACAACACATAAATAAAATAACAAAAAATACACGAAAAGAAAACTACAAAACAAACAATGAGGGAAAAAATGAAAAATGGGACAGAAGGATTAAAAAAAATTTTTTTTTTTTTTTTTTTTTACTTTGGAGGTTCCACTGTATTTATATCAGCTCAAATTGAAACGATAAAACTTGAGGTTCTAAGTGTCTGGAAAAAAAAAAAAGCCCCGCCCCTCCTTCCTCATTGGCCCCGTTAGTGTTACAAACAGCGCCCATAATGCACCTGTGTAGGAAGTACCTTGATGGGCTAACATTAAAAGGTGTCACAGTGGCTGAAGGGGAAACACATTACGTTTCACTTGTTATGTTTTTCAAGATATCGTCCACATTTTAAGCCACGATCATGAAGTATGCATGCTTACATGTGGAAGCTCCGAGTCAGCCTTGCGGTTGCAGAGAAGTCGGTAGGTGCTCAGGTTGTTCTCAAAGCTCCTACAAATTGAAGACAGACGCGCAAAAAGAAAAACATTCAATCGTGGACGCAAAATAGAAGTCAGGATGCATGAAATCCGAAATCATGTGTTTAATGTCATTCCCGTGAGCAAACATTTTCGGAAGGCCTTTTTCTAGCAAGAAAATAGCACTCGCTATTAAAAAACAAAATGACAGAAGGAATGTTATGAAGTTGAAGTTATTGGCACACTTTTTACTCCAATTCAATGGACATTGTACTGCTGGTGTGTGTTTCTTGATGACGAGGGGGGGGGGCAGTGTGTGTATGTGTGTGTGTGTGGTGGCCACAAAAGTTGTCTGAGGCTCCTTCTCGTGGCAGTTGACATATTTTCTATTAATCATAAGTGATAATAAAAAAAAGAAATACCTGCCACGCAGTCTGACTGCATCCTCAAACTTCTTTTCGTCCATAGCCTTGTGCACTTCCTGTGTCTGAACACACACACACACACGCACGCACGCACGTTTCACTTTGGCTTGACATTACTATTACTGTATGGAAAATATCCCCTTACGCATTGACGCATCAGAAAAATTGTGTATGATGTGAAGGACCAGTTTGAAAAATTGATTGGAAGTGGATCGGAAATGAATGAATGAATGAAAAATGAATGATTGTATCTTCATTGTAACATATTGTCATTGAACTGAGCCTAACTCAGGGACTGTTGACTAATAAAAATAATATTTTCAAATCCACTTATCCTCACAAGGGTCCCGGACATGCTGGAACCTATCCCAGCTTTCTTCTGGCAGTAGGCGAGGGGATGCCCTGAACTGGTTGCCAGGTAATCTCACACAGAGGAACAGTCATCCGGGCTCGCACTGACACCAAGGGACCATTTAGAGTGTTTCATGAACCTGCCATGCATGTTTTTGAAATGTGGGAGGAAACCAGAGTACCCGGAGAAAACCCACGCAGGCACGGGAAGAACATGCACAACTCCACACATGAACGCCGGAGCTGGAATCGGACCCTGCACCTCTGCACTGCGAGGCCGACATGCTAATCAGTCGACTACCGTGCTGCACGTTCTGTACCGTATTTCTAAAAACTGTGTTTCCAATCGGATTTCAGCAAACTGGGTTGCGATTGTTTTCGCTTTTTCATCAAATGTGATCGAATCACGTATCTAATCTCACCGGGAATGAGATGACATATTTAAATTGTTCGGGAATGGCATCACGTCATATGGTCGCATTCTGCGTGTCTTCTTCCAAGTTGATATCGTGCCACGTTCAGCATGTGAGGCACGTGCCGTTGCCATGTGGATGATGTCATCGAGTGGCCACAGAGCCCGATGGGGCATGGGCCGGTCCTCTTACCATCTGCACGCACTCCATGAGGGGCAAGCGCACGGCCTGGTTGCCCACAAGCGACACCACGCAGGCTGGTGTGCCGGGAGAGGCCTCCAGCAAGGCCAGCACCGCCTCCACGCCCATACGACTGGCCTGTAGGGGGCGGTCAAAGGTCACGCGTTTGGCATTTAGCATAAAAACCTGAACCTTGATTTTTTTTTTTTTCTTGTGACAAGAGCAAAGCATCTTACCAGGATCCTGTCGAAGGCGGATGGGGTTCCTCCCCGCTGCACGTGGCCCAGGATTGTCACCCTGGTATCGAAGCCCAGGTTGCGCACCACCAGCTGCCAGTCACACCAGCATATTGGCCGCGCGTTTGTCTACGCGTTCTAAATTTGTCGAGGACTTACGTCTTTGATGTAGTCGGGCGTGATGGGTTTGTTGTGGCAGTCGATGGCTCCTTCAGCCACGATGATGATGTTGAGTCTCTTTTTGTCAGCACGGTTCTACCATGAAACAGGAGACACAAGCCTTGAAGGCTGGTTTTTAGGTCATGCTCTGGTAAAATTCCAACGAGCCTGTCATCTGGCTCTGTGGTGCAATGGATAGCACGTTGGACTTCTAGGTTGCTGAGGAAGAAGCAATTCAAAGGTTGTGGGTTTGAGTCCCACCAGAGTCGATATTAAGATCAATTGTACTGAAAACATGAGGTCTTTTTCCAACTGCATTCTTGACATTTTAATTGTGGTATGGTAAAATTCCAACTAGGATGTCATCTGGCTCTGTGGCGCAATGGACAGCGCGTTGGACTTCTAAGTTGCTCAGTAAAGGGGCAATTCAAAGGTTGTGGGTTCGAGTCCCACCAGAGTCGACTTTTAGATGATGTGTACTTCTTGCATGAAGTCTTTTTCAACTGCAATCTTGGCATTGTTAGGTTGTGGTACGCAAAATTCCAGCTAGCATGTCATCTGGCTCTGTGGCGCAATGGATAGCGCCTTGGACTTCTAGGTGGCTCAGAACGAGGCAATTCAAAGGTTGTGGGTTCGAGTCCCACCAGAGTCGACTTTTAGATGATGTGTACTTCTTGCATGAAGTCTTTTTCAACTGCAATCTTGGCATTGTTAGGTTGTGGTACGCAAAATTCCAGCTAGCATGTCATCTGGCTCTGTGGCGCAATGGATAGCGCCTTGGACTTCTAGGTGGCTCAGAACGAGGCAATTCAAAGGTTGTGGGTTCGAGTCCCACCAGAGTCGATTTTAAGATGATTTGTACTTCGAGCATGAAGTCTTTTTCAAATGCAATCTTGGCAATGGTTGGTTGTGGTGTGGTAAAATTCCAGCGAGCATGTTATCTGGCTAGGTGGCGCAATGGATAGCGCCGTGGACTTCTAAGTTGCTGAGAAAGAGGCAATTCAAAGGTTGTGGATTCAATTCCCACCAAAGTTGACTTTTAGATGATTTGTACTTCAAACATGAAGCCTTTGTCAAATCCAATCTTGGCATTTTGTGGTATGGTAAAATTCCAACGATCATGTCATCTGGCTCTGTGGCGCAATGGATAGCGCGTTGGACTTCTAGGTGGCTCAGAAAGAAGCAATTCAAAGGTTGTGGGTTCGAGTCCCACCAGAGTTGACTTTAAGATGATTTGTACTTCGAGCGTGAAGTCTTTGTCCAACTGCAATCTTGGCATTGTTCGGTTGTGGGAGGATAAAATTCCAACGAGCATCTCGTCAAGCTTTGTGGCGCAATGGATAGCAAGTTGGACTTTCAGGTTGCTCAGAAAGAGGCATTTCAAAGGTTGTGATGCCCAAAACGCCTTACTATACATGGTCATTTTTTTCGGCCCAAAATGCTTAACTATACATGGTCATTTTTTTCGGCCCAAAATGCCTTTCGATACATGGTCGTTTTTTTCGGCCCAAAACGCCTTACTATACATGGTCATTTTTTTCGGCCAAAAACGCCTTACTATATATGGTCATTTTTTTCGGCCCAAAACGCCTTACTATACATGGTCATTTTTTTCGGCCAAAAACGCCTTACTATATATGGTCATTTTTTTCGGCCCAAAACGCCTTACTATACATGGTCATTTTTTTCGGCCAAAAACGCCTTACTATATATGGTCATTTTTTTCGGCCCAAAACGCCTTACTATACATGGTCATTTTTTTCGGCCAAAAACGCCTTACTATATATGGTCATTTTTTTCGGCCCAAAACGCCTTACTATACATGGTCATTTTTTTCGGCCAAAAACGCCTTACTATATATGGTCATTTTTTTCGGCCCAAAACGCCTTACTATACATGGTCATTTTTTTCGGCCAAAAACGCCTTACTATATATGGTCATTTTTTTCGGCCCAAAACGCCTTACTATACATGGTCATTTTTTTCGGCCAAAAACGCCTTACTATATATGGTCATTTTTTTCGGCCCAAAACGCCTTACTATACATGGTCATTTTTTTCGGCCAAAAACGCCTTACTATATATGGTCATTTTTTTCGGCCCAAAACGCCTTACTATACATGGTCATTTTTTTCGGCCAAAAACGCCTTACTATATATGGTCATTTTTTTCGGCCCAAAACGCCTTACTATACATGGTCATTTTTTTCGGCCAAAAACGCCTTACTATATATGGTCATTTTTTTCGGCCCAAAACGCCTTACTATACATGGTCATTTTTTTCGGCCAAAAACGCCTTACTATATATGGTCATTTTTTTCGGCCCAAAACGCCTTACTATACATGGTCATTTTTTTCGGCCAAAAACGCCTTACTATATATGGTCATTTTTTTCGGCCCAAAACGCCTTACTATACATGGTCATTTTTTTCGGCCAAAAACGCCTTACTATATATGGTCATTTTTTTCGGCCCAAAACGCCTTACTATACATGGTCATTTTTTTCGGCCAAAAACGCCTTACTATATATGGTCATTTTTTTCGGCCCAAAACGCCTTACTATACATGGTCATTTTTTTCGGCCAAAAACGCCTTACTATATATGGTCATTTTTTTCGGCCCAAAACGCCTTACTATACATGGTCATTTTTTTCGGCCAAAAACGCCTTACTATATATGGTCATTTTTTTCGGCCCAAAACGCCTTACTATACATGGTCATTTTTTTCGGCCAAAAACGCCTTACTATATATGGTCATTTTTTTCGGCCCAAAACGCCTTACTATACATGGTCATTTTTTTCGGCCAAAAACGCCTTACTATATATGGTCATTTTTTTCGGCCCAAAACGCCTTACTATACATGGTCATTTTTTTCGGCCAAAAACGCCTTACTATATATGGTCATTTTTTTCGGCCCAAAACGCCTTACTATACATGGTCATTTTTTTCGGCCAAAAACGCCTTACTATATATGGTCATTTTTTTCGGCCCAAAACGCCTTACTATACATGGTCATTTTTTTCGGCCAAAAACGCCTTACTATATATGGTCATTTTTTTCGGCCCAAAACGCCTTACTATACATGGTCATTTTTTTCGGCCAAAAACGCCTTACTATATATGGTCATTTTTTTCGGCCCAAAACGCCTTACTATACATGGTCATTTTTTTCGGCCAAAAACGCCTTACTATATATGGTCATTTTTTTCGGCCCAAAACGCCTTACTATACATGGTCATTTTTTTCGGCCAAAAACGCCTTACTATATATGGTCATTTTTTTCGGCCCAAAACGCCTTACTATACATGGTCATTTTTTTCGGCCAAAAACGCCTTACTATATATGGTCATTTTTTTCGGCCCAAAACGCCTTACTATACATGGTCATTTTTTTCGGCCAAAAACGCCTTACTATATATGGTCATTTTTTTCGGCCCAAAACGCCTTACTATACATGGTCATTTTTTTCGGCCAAAAACGCCTTACTATATATGGTCATTTTTTTCGGCCCAAAACGCCTTACTATACATGGTCATTTTTTTCGGCCAAAAACGCCTTACTATATATGGTCATTTTTTTCGGCCCAAAACGCCTTACTATACATGGTCATTTTTTTCGGCCAAAAACGCCTTACTATATATGGTCATTTTTTTCGGCCCAAAACGCCTTACTATACATGGTCATTTTTTTCGGCCAAAAACGCCTTACTATATATGGTCATTTTTTTCGGCCCAAAACGCCTTACTATACATGGTCATTTTTTTCGGCCAAAAACGCCTTACTATATATGGTCATTTTTTTCGGCCCAAAACGCCTTACTATACATGGTCATTTTTTTCGGCCAAAAACGCCTTACTATATATGGTCATTTTTTTCGGCCCAAAACGCCTTACTATACATGGTCATTTTTTTCGGCCAAAAACGCCTTACTATATATGGTCATTTTTTTCGGCCCAAAACGCCTTACTATACATGGTCATTTTTTTCGGCCAAAAACGCCTTACTATATATGGTCATTTTTTTCGGCCCAAAACGCCTTACTATACATGGTCATTTTTTTCGGCCAAAAACGCCTTACTATATATGGTCATTTTTTTCGGCCCAAAACGCCTTACTATACATGGTCATTTTTTTCGGCCAAAAACGCCTTACTATATATGGTCATTTTTTTCGGCCCAAAACGCCTTACTATACATGGTCATTTTTTTCGGCCAAAAACGCCTTACTATATATGGTCATTTTTTTCGGCCCAAAACGCCTTACTATACATGGTCGTTTTTTTCGGCCAAAAACGCCTTTGTATACGTGGTCGTTTTTTTGCCCAAAAACGCCTATACATGGTCGTTTTTTGGGGTGATAAAACCGCCTTACTAAACATGGTCGTTTTTTTTTTGGCCCAAAACGCCTTACTATACATGGTAATTTTTTTTCGGCCCAAAATGCGTCCCTATACATGCTCTTTTTTTTCAGCAAAAAACACCTTACAATAGTGATCACGTGATCATCATCGGAACTGAACGTAGATGGCGGGAAAAGCAGAGCGGGAACCGGGAATGCATGTAGCCCGACAGCGGGATTTGAGGGGAAGAGCACCAGACGCATTTTCCAACAAAACTATTAATTGGAAGGGTGGGGAAAATGACATACACAAATGCAATGAACACCAAGGGTTAATTTTACAGGAGTTGTATTGATTTTAGAAGCTTTCCCTTAAAATTAAGGACAATTAAGAACATAATTTTACAACTTCTTCTTTTTAATGGATTTTTACGAACTTTAAGGACCCGTGGGAACCCAGTTCTAACGGCACTTTTCGATTGTGGTGTGGTAACTTTTTAAGCAGGGTACCCTGATGTCCTGTGTGTGCTTTACCTCAGACAGCTTCTGGCACATGTTTTCCTCCCAGCCGTCTTCAGGAGGCATTTCAGGAAAAAACACCCAGTCTGCCCCGCAGGCCAGAGCGCTGACCAATGCCAAGTATCTACACCCACCAAATAATTAGATGTGATATGGCCACTCCGCACCAGTTGTCATCTGCCCTGTGTAAGCACGTACCCGCAGTGGCGACCCATCACCTCCAGCACGAATGTCCTCTGGTGGCTAAACCCAAGGTGCAAAGTCAAAGGAGCGAGTCAAGTGACCAAAGGGCAACAAGATGGCAGCCAAGCGTGCGTTTGCGGCGGACCTCTGAGCAGTGGTCATAATGGCGTCCACCACCTCGATGATGCGGTGCAGCGCCGAGTCAGTTCCGATGGTCATGTCGGTGCCGCAGAAGTCATTGTCGATGGAGCCTACCATGCCCACGATGTGCAGGGCCGAGTTGCTGCGCGCCGCCTCCTCGCTGATTGCTCCTGCCACAGCAACATTCGTATGATTAGCATCCATCCATCCATCTTCTAATCTGCTTTATCCTCACAAGGGTCGCCAGGGCATGCTGGACCCTATCCCAGCTGTCTTTGGCCAGTAGGCAGGGGGGCACCCTGAACTGGTTGCCAGGGCAATTACAGGGCACACGGAGACAAACAACCATCATCACATTCACAATTAGGGACACTTTAGAGTGTTCCATTAAATTGCCATGCATGTTTTTGAAATGTGGGAGGAAATCGGAGTACCTGAAGAAAACCCACGCAGTCATAAGGAGAACATGCAAATGCCACACAGGAAGGCCAGAGCCGGAATCGAACCCTGCACCTCTGCACTGTGAGGCAGACGTGCTAACCACTTGAGCACTGTGAACTCTTTATGCTGTTGTTTTTGCATTGCAGTCACCTTTAACTTGTTGAAGAGTGCTTGCTTTGCATGCGACTAGTAGTGGGATCCATGCCCACATTCTCCATGTGGTTGACCTTGTCCTTGGCATACAATACTCTCCCTTTTCAGTCACATTTCAACTAGTGTCACCACCTACCTTTTTTGTAGTAGTTAGTATTAGAGCAAAAAACGGATGGATGCCCACATTCTCCAAATGGTTGCTGTTGTTCTTAAGCACCAGTAAAGGCCTGACTCACCCTTCTGCAGTAGCTCGTCCAGAAGACCGCTCCACTCCTCCCGGAAGAGATTGGCCCCGGTCAGGCTTCCGTCACCACCAATGACACAAAGGTTGGTGATGCTCTTCTGCACCAAGTTGAGGGCCGCCTGCAGGCGGCCCTCGCGGGTGCGGAAGGCTTTGCAGCGAGCGCTGCCGATCACCGTGCCGCCCTGCAAGAAGAGGGGGGGCGGGAGTGGGTGCACCCGTGGCCAAAGGTCAAGAGGACGCATTTTCTACGTAGCTGGTTACGGCCATGTGACAGCTGTGTTGCGCTCACCACTTGCAACATGCTGGAGACACTTTCCCATGACGCCTCCTTGATGTTATCGCCGCCATCCACCATGCCCTGGTAACCCTGTGGGACACCACAATTGTCAATTTCAACATTATTTTTATTGTCACTGTTACTTTTTTTTTTTTTACTTGGAAAAAAAATTTCACAATCAACTTTTTTTCACTGTCACATTTTTAAAAATCATTGTACTTGTACACATAGTATTCCAGTGGGTAAATGTGGATCAGATCATAACAGGCATAACAATAGCGCATCTGACTCAAGATCAGGTTGCGTGTTCAAATCACATCAGGGTCAAGGAAGACCTTTCTTCTAAAAAATGTCAACATGAGAGATCATTTAGTCCTAAAGTGGCTTGCGACCTTAGAGGACTTGTGTTCGATTCCACTGAAAAAAAGGTCAGATGAAATTTGGACACCGGGATGTTGTTCATCTTCATTAGCAATGAAAAGTGAACCTCCTTGGGGGATTTAATCATGTTGGATGCCGGTCCTGATTTTGTTGGTCTGGATAATCAAATCACTGCATTGAGTCAGCAGAAACACTAACATACTTAAAACATTTATTTTGTGAAAAAGAAATGCTACGTGCCCGCCAAAGTAAAAGTGGAGTCCAAGCAAGAGGAAGAGGAGGCAAGCAAGTGCGTGTCTGGAGTCTCATGGGAGGAAAAAGTGGAGTCAGCTTGGATCAGGACATTGATCCAATTAGCAATTCAATCAACGTTCAAACCAGGACGGCTCTTAAGACTCAACACTTCACTCGCTACTCGGGCCCCTTTTCACATCTTTTTTTCATTTTCCATCTTGTCCAAACAGGTTCGCTTATTTTACAATAAATTCTCATGCTCACTTTTTCACAATAGCACTTTCTTACATTTTAACAATGCGATTCTTCACATTTTCATCACCGTTTCCACATTTTTAACAATGTCATGGGGTTTATTTTCTCAGATTTTTAAAAAATGATATAACTTCTCTTTGTGCCATGTCATTTTATTCAGTGCGTCATTTCCTCCCCACTTTTTAAATGTGATCATCTTGTTGTTACTTTACATCTCACACTACGACTGTGTTCTGTTGTGTTTCTGTCTGACCTCATGTATAAAGTAGACTTTGGCTCCCACGTAAATTCCCATGCGGACCACAGCCCGGACCGCTGCATTCATCCCTAAAGGAACAAGCAGACAATATAAAAATAATGAAGGATAAAATCACGCACACATTGGATTAGCAGATTAAGAATTGACATTTATTTAATATTGTGTCGTACTATGTGTGTGTGTGTGTGTGTGTGTGTGTGTGTGTGTGTGTGTGTGTGTGTGTGTGCGCGCGGTCCCTTTCCTCGGACACTTGCTGCTTCTCACGTAGGCGCTGCGTCGCTTTCCTTTTCCAGAGCGCGCGTTAAGGGTCCTACACGGCGCCGCCAGAAAACGTTTGCCTTCAGCGTAAAAGGCCAGCTATGCCAAGACTAACATCTCATCTCTTATTTTGAAAGTTACATAACGGAAAATAGTGTATTTGACGGTGACAAATGACATTCACGACTCATTCTCCGCGCGTGTGTGACATGAATTCTTAACAGGTACAGAAAAGACGTCGACATTTGTTCAAAATTAAAAAAAAGGATTGACTATTTTAACGTTTATTTTGTGCGCAAGTGCAAATCAGTTTCCTCATCTACGAACGGATTTAATATATATTTTTTATTATAAATACCACTTAGTGATGTAGACGTATACAAACTCGTTACATGTGTGTGTGTGTGTGTGTGTGTGTGTGTGTGTGTGTGTGTGTGTGTGCTAACAATGCTATTGTATAGCCTCCCAATAAAACACTACGTATTAAAAACCACTGCAATGCTCACGAACGTTGAACACTTATATTTATCGATAGTGAAAAAAGAATCCGATTAATTATTAATTTTAATAAGTGTACTCAGTCTGAGGCTTTTTTTTTTTTTGGTGCAGTCTTACACACCTACTTCCACCATTTACTTGCTGCACAGATGACATGGTTCCATTACCTTGTCCTAATCATGTGGACGTAAGCTTCTTCTTCGATGTGATTTAGTGGCAACACCAAAGAAACCCCACATCTCCAAACGAACATCTGTACATCTGTTGCTGTAATGGGGGGCGGTTACCAAGGTGACGAAAATTTCCTATTAATGGAAAAGTATGTCGCTTCGATGTAACGAGAAAATACAACATGAGTGATTATAAAAAGATTGCGGTCCAATAAAGAGGGGAAAAGATATGATTAATAAAGAGGATGAAGGAGTGCCCCCCCCCCTACCGCCGCCCCACAAATTTGGAGATGCGGCGGCACTGTCCGATAATGGAAGCCGGGAAACGCGTTTCTCACCTTGGGCATCTCCGCCACTGGTAAGCACCGCGATGGACTTTCCATGGCCGGACAAGTTCTCAAAGAGTTTGCGGGTGTCTTGTCGCTTGGGGGCCGACATGACTTCGTTGGACTCCTTCCTGCTCGAGATGTCCTCCTCCTCTTGTTGGTCTCCCGCAGGTTGTGGACAGCAGTGACTACCGGATGGAGCGGGCAAGCGGGACCGACTGCAGTGGGTGCCGCCCACTTTTTCAAAGCTACAACTTCAGTTAAGATGGCTCACCAAGCCTTTGCGAGGCAACCCAAGAACAAATGGAGAGAAGCAAGGAAATCGAGTCCAAATGCAATTCACACGCGTGTGAGTAGCAGTCATAAACGTGATTTTACAACTATTCATTCATGTTTATGTTTATGCGAGATTTGATGTGTCCGAGGAAGAAAATCCGAGTAATAATTTTTGCCTCTTTCCCGTGTTCTAACCTGCCGGAGATCCTCTTGGCCAATGACGGCAGGGCTTGTGCGTGAGTGACACTTATGCTAGCCAATGGACGTCAACGTCTTTTTTATGTGTGTGGTGTGTGCGAGTTTGTGAGTGTGCGCACGTATGCGCGATGTGTGATTGTGACAGGAAGTATAGCCAATGGGCTTCTAGATCCTAACTTTGGGCCAATTGTTTGAAAAAATAGTGTGGATTATAGTTTTGACTTGTTGAAAAGTTTCAAAATGAGTTTTAAAGCATGTGCAAAGCAGACATGTGCCTTGTGTGAGGTCGAGAATCTCGGGCCATTGTGAGCATTTGGCAGAAGGCCAGCTGAGCGCCATTGTTTGTTGTAACACAAAGAAGGAGAAAAGACGACTGTCGTGTCCCAATCACGCGTTCATGACGAACAGAATCAAAAATTCAAGTCAAGTTGACTCAGAAGGAAGTTGTGAGTGTGTCGTATCGCTCGAGTGGCAGGTGGGAACACATTTGGCAACGATGTGGCTTTGTGATTGGACAGGAAGGTTGCGCAGAGGTCATACAATACTGGAACACATTCAAGTGCCTCTGTGACCAACAGAAGTCACTGAAAAACTTCATGTTCCCCGTATGCTTTATTACAAATAGTAACTACTTAAAATAATTGAAAATAAAATAAAATCACGACATAGAAGACAATTCTAGCACATTCAGAAACAATAGTTGTGTTATTGGGTAAGACTCCTCCTGAAGGCCCACTTTCATTTTGTACACAAAGATGATGTAATCAGGATGCAAGCACACTGTTGAAGTAGAAACAACGGCGAAGAACTTTAATAAGTATACAAGCCAACTCGCTGTAAAAAAGTGCGCAAATAACTTTAAAAAGCTAACGGTGCCAGATGGAAAGCAAGTTTGCGATCTAATGGGATTACAGAGTGGCAAGAAGATGTAACCAAGTGGCCTGATGTTTAATGGAGAAACCTACAAGTGTTGACACTCGAGAGACTACGTCTGAGTCAACAGAAAGGAGAACAACTTGCCTAAAGTTCACTCAACTTATATGGCAGAGTGAGTAATGGAGCCAACTAGTCTGCTAATTTGTTTTGCCGCATGTTACATTCTGTATAAGGGAAGTGACAATCATGTCAGATTGTTGTGACGATGATCTCAGTGGGAGCGCATTGTAGGTCAACTTTGAAGTTTCAAACCCTCACCCTAGTGTGAAATCGTGACACTAGTTTGGAAAGCCTACTTTGAAATCCTACCCTGAATTTGAAACCCTAAATGGAAACCGTAGCCCAATTTTGAAACCCTAACCATAGCATTGCTTGCCACACTAGCAGCGCGAGAAGCGCTAGCCATGCTAGCAGCGATAGCTGCACGAGCAAGGCTGTGGTAGGGCACGAGTTAATGCAGTCACAACGTAACTGAATTGAATTTCAAGATGAATTGCATGGATTTGTTTCTGGATTTTCTGCAAGACACTGCGTTTGAAAACATACAACATCAACAAGACAATAAACACTAATGGAAATGGTAATAAACGTAACAGCCGAATATGAATGACACGAGGAGGCGTGAATTATGTGAATAAAAATAAATTTATTTACAGTGGCATCGATCATAAATTAACAAGCAGCGGTAGCGACAAAACAAAAGCAGCGTTTTGCATCGTCTTTGCTTCATTCAACTTTCTGACAACATGGAGGATTCATATATTATTATTTTTATGATTATTATGATGATCTTTTAAAGCTCGTCAGCAGCACACTAAATGCCTTTTTGCTGCACAAACCAAAGAAGAAAGAACATTTTTGAAGTATAATCTAAGATTCCATCTTGGAATTTACATTCATGATTTAAAATGTATGTATTGAGCAGTAAAACATCCATAAATGTCTCGTAAAACAAAACACAACACATTGAATGGAACTTCTAAGGCATTTTTTTTGTATCAAGAAAGGTAATTGCATGGAAAACATGGCCAGAAAAATAGCAGTCTATCAAGTAAGAAAAGTGTGTAATATACGCTATGTATTAATATATGACTATGTCAGCCATAGAGAGGGCAAAAAGTGACATTCGGGATATTTGAATGGCTTCTGCTCATCACGTCTTTGGGCTTAAATGACCACAAAAAAAAAAAAAAAAAAAAAAACACACATCATGTCCAACATTCACCATGGTTCATTTCAGTGTGTCTTCATTCAAGTATAAGCTAAATTATTCTAGGACCATGCATAGAAGGTGACGGTGAAAAATATTGGCAAAAAGTTGACTTGGAACACATTTTGTCAACTCTCAAACATTCCGCTAGGATTCCAAATTATTTCAATTGTTGATCTGCAATCATTTGTGCCCTGCTTTGTGTCAAGCAAACTGAAACACAACTCAACGACTGAGAGTTCGAGTGGGAAAATTCCAGGGCAGAAATATTTGTTCAAAAGTCAACTTGTACCACATTTTGACAATTCTCAAACGTTCCTGTTTTGTAGAATTCAATTACTTTGATTCTTTAGCAGGAAATAATCATGCCACTTTACACAAAGCAACCGAATGGAGTCATTGACAACAGTAGGCTAACGCTAAGACTAAAACATCGCCGAAAGATTAGCGTTGGCTTGCTACATAGCCAGTGAGCTGAAATGGTTAAAAAATATATATTTTTGCGTCATTTTAAGACTCCTGGTTGTTTCAATGTTTCGTTTTGTTTTCCAGCGTGTATTGATTTAAATGTTCTTTTCATCTCTTTGAGCAGCTTGAAAATGCTAATTCAATCTATGCTAACATTAGCATCTAAGACGGTTAAGGCTGGTGAATACTATGACATTAGCTTCATATTTGGTGTCAAACAATTAAGAAAACGGGTACAGTCAAAGTATATAAATAAATCCAATAATTATCCAACAAATGTTTTTTTTAGCAGAGGCATAAACCACCAAAACACCTGCTTAGGGCAACGTAAACATTTGCGAACCCCCACGCCCCGCCCCCCTTCCCCCAACGGTAGTTAACAGTTGAGGTTGAATCATGTGTTGGCTGACTTAAAAGAAATGTACAATTTGAAACAAGAAAGATCAACTTTCATCTTTAAAGAAATTTGTAGAAAATACTCCTCAGTGTGTGATGACAGCTTCAGTCAGGCTTTCAAGTGGAAAAGTTTAGCGAGGAACACAAACGTTTTGCTTCCAAGAGTAGGAAGTCACAATGTTGTTGCAGTTGCATCTGGGCGTCAGTAGGTGGCATCAAAATGCATACCAGTGGTCATCCTGGACCTCCAAGGCCTTGAAATAGGAGGAGGCTGATTTGAGTAGATTTCCTTCCAGTCGTCCCCAAAAGGATTTTTTTTTTTTTTTATTTGGGGGGGAACAAAGAAGAGAGTTGACATGAATCAGAAGCTTTCCAGGCCAACTGTGTCAGCAGAAGTTCTGGAAAGACACAAAAACGGGATGAATGGCATATTTTAGTCATTAAATTAAAAAAAAAATAATAAAAAAATCACATCAAGAGTACAGTACACCGCTCGACACATTTTGACGGCAGTTGTTAAATTTGAGATGCAAGTAAACTGTTCACTTGAAACATAAATTGGACGTATATTCCCACAGCAATAAGTCAGCGTCACGGAGACATGAAATTGCGACACATGTCAGCGACGTGACATGTTCTTCAATGGTCAAACGACGACCCGGAGGAGCGAGCGTCTCCTTTCTCCAAACGTTTGCCGCTTTTCGTCAGGATGGTGTAGTGACGAGGTTGCAAAGAAGCAAGTTAGCCGCTGAGCGTTGTACTCACAGAGTTATTTAAGTCTCCTTCTGGTGTGAGCATGTCCATTCCCGCCAGCTGATCGAGAATCAGACTCCCGTCACCCGCCTATGCCGAAACATAGATGACAGCAATTCATTTCGATTTTCTTTTTTTTTTTTTTTTTTTTTAAGTACACCCTACACAGATCTGATCGGCTGGATCAGATCAGAAAATATTTTCCATTTGATGCAAAATCGGTGATGGAAGGTAATGTCATAATTTGTCGCTCAATCAATGATGTCAATGTTGGGATCCACAAAAAAAAAAAAAAAAAAAATGAAATTGAATAAAATAAAAAACATGACAGCAATCAATAAGTTTTATGTATGTGTTTATCAGCATTTTGGGGAGAATTTTTAGGATTTCATTGTTCTTATTTTTTCCCAATTCGCGCGTCGACCTCACAGTGCAGAGGTTCAATTCCAGCTCCGGCCTTCCTGTGTGGAGTTTGCATGTTCTCCCCGTGCCTGTGTGGGTTTTCTCCGGGTGCTCCGGTTTCCTCCCACATTCCAAAAACATGCATGGCAGGCTGATTGAACACTCTAAGTTGTCCCTCGGTGTGAGTATGAGCGCGAATAGTTGTTCGTCTCTGTGTGCCCTGCGATTGGCTGGCAACCGGTCCAGGGTGTCCCTCGCCTACTGACTGATGATGGCTGGGATAGGCTCCAGCACCCCCCGCGACCCTTATTAGGATAAAGTGGATCGGAAAACGGATGGATGGATGGATGGATGAATGGATGGATTTATTCCCAATGCATTTCAATCACTCAAAAATTTGACTATTTTGGTCTGGCGAGGGCCCAATTCCCAGCGAAGGGATGAGTGACTTTTCAGTAAATTAAAATGTTGTTTAAATAGATTGGATAGATTGTTCCATCTTCTGACTTGATCAGTGATTGGTTATTTATTTATTTATCAATTTTTTTTAACTCGTCGATCAACACCAAAATCCTGGTTGGGTAAATCCTAAAAAAATTTAACATTTTTGAGAAGGAATTTTTCGAAAAAGTTTTAAATCTACTCAAGCCATATTTTTACATTAAAAAAAAAAAAAAAAAACATCATCCAAAAATGAAGTTGTAATTATCAAGAAAATTTGCACTCCAAAATTGTACCTGTTCCTGGTGCATGCCGCTGAGGTGTGCCGACATATTTGCTCCTCTGCTGCTCATGCTCATGTTCATGTTGTTATTGTTATTGTTGTTGTTGTTGTTGTTGCTGTACAAGGCGGTGCCACTGCTGCTGGAGAATGGAGCCTGTTGCTGGTAGACGCTGGGAAACATGAGAGACATGAAAATCTATATTTAAACATATACATCGGTCACTACAGTGGACAGCTTATCATGTTATCAGGTTACAGGGTGCATGAAAGGGTTCAAGCGAAAGTGGGTGTGAGTACTTGTTGGGCGTCTGCATCCATCCGTTGAGGTCGGCACCCCCGGTGCCGGCGGCGGGGTAGGCGGGCGCCGCCCCTCCCTGCATTTGGCCGTGGGCCACCGACATCCTGGGCGACAACACGGCGCCGGGCGGCGTCCCGGAAGAACAAGCCAACACGGACGCCGAGTCTTGATGATGATGGTGATGATGATGAGGATGAGGATGATGCCGGCTCATGCCTCCTCAAGTCAAGACAATATTTTCACGTGATGGGAGGAGCTTGATTTATGACACAGTGGCGGTTTTCGATGTAGCGCGTACCATAGTTGGGCGCGGCGTAGGGGAAGTGTTGCGCGGCGCTTTGTGGCAGACGAGAGTTGGGCCCGCTCATGGAGGCGCCCCCCGCCGCCGTGGCCATGTTGGGAGGGATGTTGACCGCCATCATGGCTCCATGCTGGTGTTGATGGTGTTGCTGCTGCTGCTGCTGACGTTGCCGCAGGTGGTTGCTGAGATACTCGCGCTGACGCTGCGCTAACATTTGCGCATTGAAGGAACCCTGGCGAGTCGCACAAAATATGGACCCACATTGTCCAAGTCAACAGGAAGTCATCATTCACGTCGTGTGTTTTCTCAGAAAACGTCACCAATGAGAAATTGAACTACAAAGTCGCAACAGGAAAACTTTTCCTTTTCCTTGTTTACCGCCCACTTTTATTCATTTGATGCAAGGCAGACTTCACGGGGTCTCTGTCACATTTGGTCCAGAAAAGATTATTGGTTAATGTGTCATTAATGGGGAAAGAAATGGTAGTTATGTGTTAGTATACGATTTTACAGAGGCTATTCTTCACAAACATGCTTGAAGTCATTGAAGTCCTGCTATGTAATAAATACAAAATATCAGCACTGCATTCCATGACGTTTTGAGGCTGACCTGGTTAGGAAGGTTGGACCTGAGAGGTAGATTCATACTGGAGACTGCAGTCATCTGGTTCATGATTGGCTGACGGTTCTACGAGAGAAATTTTGATGACAATTACCAGGAATGTTTCTCGACGGGCAAAAAAAAATACAAATCAGCGCTTCCCACTGACATTGTTGGAAATGCCATTAATCTGTTGCAGCCTAAAAAAAAACAATTGTAATATGTTATTTGAAGGAGAAAAATAGAACATTGCATAACATGTTCTGTTATTATTTAAAAAGAAAAAAAAGTAATTGCATTTTTTACTTTAATTCAGTGGACATTGTGTTGTTTCTTTTGGCCAGGATTTAATTTTTTTTTTTTTTTTTTTTTTTTTTACCAGCTGTGCCTGCAGGCGGTGCTGCAGCTGCAGCCTGAGGTTGTTGGGCTGCGGGGGCAGCTGTGGGTTGGCCCCGCCGGGTCGAACGCCGCCCGGCCGGGGACCCTGCACCCCGGGCATCCTCATCATCGGGGGGTAGCCGCCAGTCCTCTGCTGCCCCATGTGGGTGGCGCCCACCGGGGGGCAGAGGAAGGACGCGTCGGGGGGCGGGCCGCCGTAGCCCCCGTAGTGCTGGGCCGCGTACATGGGGGGCTTGACGGGAGACGTCAGCGCGTCCGACGGCCCGAAAAGATGCTCCTGCTCCGATGCGCCGCCCTGAGGAGATTTCACATGATGTTAGCTACTTTCAAACCCTTTTATATGAAACCCTTAAACATAGTTTAAAACCCTAACCAGGGTTGGAAACACAAGCCTTGCAGTGAAAAAACAATTTCAAACCGTACCCCTGATTTGAAAGCCGAATTCTAAACCCCATCACAGGCTTCAAAACCCTCAACTAGGCTTGAAGGCTTTATTTGCAACCTTAAACTTGGTTTCAAGCCCTAATTTTCAACTTGGTTTCCAACCCAATTTTGAATTCCTAATTTAAAATCATAAAACACGTTTGAATTTCGAGTTTGATTCTCCCACCCAGATTTGAAACCCTAATACGAAACCTAAACGGTAATTTCAAACCCTAACCTTGTCTTCAAACCTTAAATTTGAAACCAAACCCTAGTTTGAAACCCTAACGCAGGCTTGAAACCCTCATTCTGAAAGCTGGCCAAGGCTTCCAATTCTAATTTGAATCCCCCACTCAAGCTTGAACGCCTACTTTGAAACCCCACCCGTAGTTTCAAATCCTGACCAAGCTCTAAGCCTTAACCTAGGCTTGAAACTTCAATTTCAAACCCTTACTTTGGTTTCAAACCTTAATTTCAAAACCGAACCCAGTATTAAATTCCTATTTTAAAACTGTAAACCAGGTTTCAAATTCTAATTTGAAACCCCAGCACAGCTTTGAAACACTAATTTGAAAGCCCCCGCGACCCTGTTCTGGATAAGCGGTGTTGAAAATGATGATGAATGGATCACCTGTCCGGCCAGCATGGGGATGCCGAGCATCTTGTCGAGCTCCTCTAGGCCCTCGTAGTCCTTGAGGACGGAGCATAGCTGGTTGAGGAGTGCCCCCTCGTCCGCGGGGCCCTCGGGCGCCGCCCCGCAGCAGCCCGGCCCGTCATCCGGGGGGACCCCGTACGGCGACCTGCAACCGGGGCGCTCCCGTTACGGTCACTTCACTTCACTTCAACTCAGCTCAAGGTTTTGACCGCCCCCGGCCGCACCTGTTTTGGCTTCCATAATGGTCCATCATCATCCTGTCAGGCCACGGGGCCGTCTGATTGGGCGGAGCGTGCTGCTGAGGGTAGGCGGGGTTTGTCAACTCCATCTCTGATTGGACAAAAGAAGAACGGCAACATTGCTCTGTTCAAAGGGATTTAGGATTGTGATGCATTATTACATTATTAGTTAATTGACTTAGTGTCATTAATATTATATGTATTTTATATTCTTTATTTGAAGAAATAACAGCTACCTTAACTCTAGTGAAAATAAACATGTTAAAAGAACTATATTTTTTTAATGAACTTTGTATTCATTTATGTCACGACATAACTGGTGAATTAATTTACTGGAAATAATTCACTATATTTGTACAACTGGCCTTTTTGTATCCAGTATGTACATTTCATATTTTTGTTTTTATGGACTAATACCTTCCATCATAATCAAAATAAAAAAATAATACATTTAAAGCCATGAAAATAAACTTTTACAATGCATTCATTGGAAGAAAAAAAAACAATTAACACAATAAAAGCAATATTTTAAATCTTTTTTAATTTTTGGTATTTGGCTCAACAGTACTAAAAATGATATATCTACATATATACCTAATTAAAACTGCAACTCAATCAATGATTCTAATTTGGTTGAAGGACTACAATTGCAGTTTACGGCATCGCTTACCGCCGGCCATCATCTGCATGCCCACCACCGATCGGGGCGGCGCCCCCCTGGCAGGTGCGGCGCCGTTGATGTCGGAGAGCATGCGAACACCCTGGGCCAAGGACGGGGTCGGGGGGCATCCCGCCGGCCCCCAGCCGGGCTGCAGGGAGCCCGCCGTTGGCCCGCTGGACAACATGGCTGACAAGGAAGCAACACAAGGGGGGATTTTCACTTCCTTGCTTGACCACAAAATACATACTTCAAACCCAAATTTGAAACACTACTCTGCTCATTAAAAACTGACCTCAGCCTTGACACCCTATTTTGAAACCCAAACATTGGCTTTAAACCCTTCCCGGAACACTACAATTCTTGTTGAAAACCCTAACACAGGCTTGACACGATAATTTGAATCCTTAACTCAGACTTTATTATATTTCTCATATTTTTACTGTGATGTCATTGCCATTTGAATGTTCCATATGCGAAAGGGGCGGGGGTCAAAATCTGATTTTTGTAGGAGGATATGTACCAATATTTTTCAGAGAGATAAATTAGATTTGGAGTGGGAAAAAAAAGTGGCCAGTCCTGTTTGTACGTCACATTTAGAAAAGTGTGCATGTTGCGCGTGTTGGTCACCCATTCTGGTTTCCCATCATACCTTGCTGTTGCAGCAAGGCGTACGGCTTGTTGTTGTTGCCATTGTTGGCGCTCCTGTGCTGCGGGGCCATCGGCCGGCCAGCGAGGCCATCCTGCGATAGGCTCCTGCCGGGCGGCGCCCCACGAGCCGACTGGCATGGCCTGGCGCCGCCTACGGGAGGTGCAAGGAATTGCAAGTTGAAGTTACAAGAAGGTCATGTTGAAATGCGCTCATGTCGGTGGCGCTAATACAAATTGCAAAACTACACGCAAGCAACTGTGCCATCTTTTGGATCTGTGATGTCACTGTCCCACTTGACCTCATTGCACCCGGACAATGTCGACCAAAGGGAAAGCAAAATTACCCTGACCCGAATTTGAAACCTTCATTTGAAACCCGAACCCGACTTTGAAACCGTAAGCCAAGCTTGAAACTCTCATTTGTTTGAAATCATGTTTAAAAAGCCTAACCCGGGTTTGAATGCCCAATTTGAAACTCTAAGATTGACAAACCTGAAGATTGACAAACACTCATTTCAAACCTCACCCCTCAAACACCAGCATGTACCTGCTGGGCCGATGGCAGGGAAGGCCGGGTGCTGGGGTGGTGGGCTACTGTGGTCCCCATGGGGGGTGTCCATTAACTGCAGGATGTCTCCGATGGCACTCTGCTTGTCAGCAGGGAATCCGGTGGTCGCCGCCGAGGAGGAAGAGGAGGGAGCACCTCCTCTGGACAGTTGCCGAGAGAATGACTGGTGGTTGGGGTGGTGATGATGATGATGCTGCTGATGATGATGCTGCTGATGATGATGATGGGCGCCGGCCTGCAGGTCATCCAGAAGATCCTCCAACTCGCTGGTCTGAGGTGAAATATTCATGCAGGACTTCATTTGAAATTCTAACCCAAGATGAAAAACCTAACTGAGGCTTAAAATACAAACATGAAAACCTAACTCGACCTGCAACCCTATTTTAAAAGCCTAACACAGACTTGAGACTAATTTAAAATTACAACCCTTACCAAGACCTGCAACCCAATATTCAAACGCCAGTTTTAGTTTAAAAGCCAAACCGAGCCTTGATAGGGTGATTTAAAACTTGTCTGGACCCCTAATTTGAAACCCTAGTTGAAAATCCTAAAGCACACTTGAAAGCCTAACCTGGATTTGCAACCCTAATTCAAAACGCTAATTCGAGTTTCAAAGACTATCCGGGCTTGAGACCATAATTTAAAACTAGAACCTTTATTTGGAACCATAATTTAAAACCATGACCTGGTCTTGAAACACAAAATTGAAACTCTAACCCAAGCTTGAAACTCTTAGCGCTCGTTTAAAAACCCTACCACAGGCTTGAAACCCTCATTTGAAACCCTTCTATTTGCTTAAAATCTTAACCCTTTGCTTTAAACCCTACCCCTCGTCGAAACTAAAGGCTTGTATGTTTCTACTGTCACCGCATGCAGAGGTTGAGGTGAAACTGTTGTCATTTCCTGATCTACTGCAAACAACCTCTCAACTGACAATACGTGAGCATTCATAAAAACGAGCACGACTCCCATACAAACCGGACCAATCAAATTACTCACACACACACACACACACACACGCACACACACACACGCACACACACACACGGCGGCTTACGTCCCGCGGCCGTTTGCCTGACGAATGGAGGAGGAGCTAAAAATAGAGCGGTGCCTCTAATGAGGTCACATGTGATGTACAGGAGGACGAACAAACCGTAGGCAGTCACGCCGCTGCCTAAGCCGCTGTGGACGCACACAAAGACACACTTCTTCCTCAACTTTCAAAGCAGAGTTCGCGTGTAAAAAAAAAAAAAAACAAATATAGAGATATAAATATTCAGGTTGGATCTTATTGGAGTAATAACTTGTACACGAAGTGTGTTCATTGTGACGACCCTTCCACCTGATGGCAAAAGAGGGTCTAACATAAGTGTGGGAGTTGCGGAGGAGCAAACGGTGGTGCGCAACCATGGTTCTGGCTTTCTAAGGCAAGCGGGTACTAACACGGGTGGGGGGGACATTATTGAATTCTTTCAAAAGTGTCTTGAAAGACCCGAAGGATGGTCCGAAGGTGGTCGAGTGGTCACAGTGCAGAGGTTGGATTCCTGTCTGGAGTTTGCATGTTCTCCCCGCGCCTGCGTGGGTTTTCTCCGGGTACTCTGGTTTCTTCCCACATTCTAAAAACATCCATGGCAGGCTGACTGAAAACTCCAAATTGTCGCTAGGTGTGAGTGTGAGCGCGGATGGTTGTTTGTCTGTGTTTGCCCTGCGATTGGCTGGCAAGCGGTTCAGGGTGTCCCCTGCCTACTGAAGACAGCTGGAATAGGCTCCTTGTGAGGATAAAGCGGATCAGAAAATAGCTGGATGCCTAAGGACAATGTCAATAGACTATTTCTATATCACAAATTTCACGTATCACCACGATGGAGGGGTACGTGTGAATTGCAAGAACTGACCTGGTCGGTAACGTTGAACGCGGGGTCCTGTTTCTCAGTCTTGACGACGGCCATCTTGGTCCCGTCAGCGGCCTCCATCTTGATGGCTTTTTCCAGGATGCCGTTGTCATCGCGGTCCAGCAGGTAGCGCAGCAGCACGTTGTCCTTCTTCTTTGGGCTCTCCGGCTCCTGTTTGACGCCCAACTCCGCCAAGGCGGCCGCGCTGTCGTCAAGGCAGCCGCCCGCCGACTCGGACCCGGCGGGCTCCTTCCCCGTGGCCTCGGCGGTCAGCTTGGCCAACTCCACTGGCGAGCTGCTGTTCTGAAGCAGCCTGTGCAGAATTTTGTGTTTCTCCTTCAACGAGGCCGAGTGGTTGGTGTGCGCGGCCCCCAAACAGGCGCCGACACCCGCCAACTGCTCGTCCGCCAGGGCCCCGAGAGACGAGCAAGGGTCCGGGGGTTCGAGCTTCGTGGTGAGAAGCTGCAGAAGCTGCGTGTGGCCTTTGGCGCTCAGGAGGTGGTCAGGCTCATCCGAGATGTCCGGGTCCTCGTCCTTACCCTGGTGCGGCTCGCCCTCCTGGTTTTGGGACGAGTCCTGCTGCTCACCGAAAGTCCCCAGCAAATCGGCTTCCAAGCTAAGGTGATCTTTCTCCTGGGTGCTGGGAAGAGGGCTGCGAAGGGTGGACTGTCCATCGGGGGACTCGGAAGTCCTGTGAACCTGGCTGAGGGCCTGAAAGGCTCCGAGTGGGTTGAAGCCGCGGTTGTTGGAGCTGCTACAGATGGACGCTGGCGAATGGAGGCCGCCGCTAGGTGAGAAAGAACCGGGCTGATGTTGGGGGGTGTGGGGGCTGCCGTTGCTGCTGCTCGCCACCATTCCGGGGCTGTGGTGACGGCGAGGGGACAAAACGGCCCCCTGGCCCCCGGACGTGACGCTGGGGCTTCCCTGGGCCGAGGGGCTGCCGAGTTTGTGGCAGGTGGCCTGCGGCGTGGCGGCTCGGCTCGCGAAGCTGCACGAAGAAGCTGCAAAGTGGTTGCCGGTGACGGCGGCGTCGGGTGAGTCGCCGGTTTGAGACACGGCGAGGCTCGTGGGCACGTCCAGAGGGATGGTGCCCATATTCTCCCTGAAAAAGAAACACAGGGGGTTGGTTGTACCAATATTGACGTTAACTTGATCTGTTTCGCAGTCCTGGCAGCAAGGGGGGTCTACTTGTTGATCTTGTTCGCCTCACATTTCTGCGCTCTGGGGTTTGAATCACAGCTCGAGACTTTTTGCATATTCTCCCGCTTCTTACGTGGGTTTTCTCCGGGTACTCATCTCACAAATCAAAGCATGTTAGCTTCAGTAAAGAATTGTCCTCGTATGTGCTAAGGTGTTTGTTTTTTTTTGTCCCTTGACATTTTCTAGTGAGCAGTCCATTCTTGATCTGTGCGCAGACTGACATGAGCCAGCTTCCTTGTTCAATTTTGCGCACGGGTCTTTGAGACGCTTTGGTGCGTTGTGGCAAATTTTGTGGAAGGGGCATTTTTTTGTTGTCATTTGCCAGGATGCCGTGACTGAGTGGCAAACAAAATGGCCGACTTTCTGTTCAGTTTCTGGCATGGGTCCCAGAGGCCTTTTTGTGGATCGTGTTTTGAATGTAGCCAAGTAGCCAAGTACAGTCAAACCTCGGTTTTCGAACGTCTCGGTTCTCGACCAATTCGGTTTTCGGCCAAAAATTTCGAGTTTTTTATGCCTTGGATGACGAACAAATTTCGGTTCTCGAACAAACTGAGTGCACTTGAATGCACCATTTGACTCCTCTCGCCTTCCTTACGCGAGGAAATGACGCTTCCTCGGGTAGACGAGGAAGTGACGCTTCCTCATGGTCGCTTTCCATTGTGAGCAGACGTGTTCAATAAACACTTTTTTTTTTTTTTAAAGAGCGTGATTTCGGTTTTCGAACAATTCGGTTTTCGAACAGTCTTCTGGAACGGATTATGGACGAAAACCGAGGTTTGACTGTACATCAAAAAAGAATTTGAGTGGACAAATATCCAAATTTTGCTTGTCGATGTGGGTCATCGGTGCTTGTGATGGAAGACGTTACCTCTGCAGGATGTGCAGGGACAGGTACAGTTGTGGCTCGTTGGTGGCGGGCGAGCGGAACAGTTTGCTTTTGGTGTGCGCCGACACCACGGTGCCGTCGGATAGCGAGAAGCGGTAGAGGGGGCTGAGCGCGTGGCCGTTCCTCAACACTGCGGGCGGAGAAGGACGACACCGTGGCAAAAGATGAGGCGGCAAGAAAGGATGGCACGGGGGGGGCTGAAAGCGGCTCCTCACCGTCTTGCTGGTGTCTCTTGGCGAAGGAGATGTCGCCATCGTTCTGCAGGTGGAACCTCTGGATGCAGCGCCGCACCAGGTCCTCCCAGCCCAGTTTCATGGACGCCCGCAGCAGGCTGGTGTCCAGCGAGGTGATCTTACCTGCGAGAAGGCAGTACAGGTTATAGATCACATCAACGGTGGCAAAACTGGGCCAGTCGCACTTGTTTGTACCACAAAAAAAAGCTACCGTTTCAACATGGGGTGTGTAGACTTTTTATATCAACTCCATTTGAAGCATCACATTACATGCCGCTGTTATTTAATGATGCATGACGCTGTGTTGCTGCGCAAAAAGGCCCAAATGAGGCGTGAAGTGATTGCCGCAAGCTCCTCGGCGGAGGTTCGGATGCGAGCGCGTCACCTTGCAGGTCCTGCCGCGTGGTGAAGCTCTTGTACGACGACAGGGACGTTCGATCCTTCACCGGAACTCTTCGAGCCACGCAGATCAGACATGATTGCAGATCTGAAGGTGGGCAAAGGGGAAAAGATGCAAAAGTCACTCAAGTGTGAGATGAAAACAAGATTTTTGTAAATGTGTTTTTGGTGCCCAACAGTGGTGCTCATTGACATCATTTCCGGGTTTCTATTCCGGTGACTTGGCAGCTAAGCTCGGAGTAGGTTTGTTATTTTCAAGCCACTGCCAACCAACCGCAAAGTGTAAAATGGTATCATGTCAAAGAGAAAAAGGTAAGCAGAGCTGCAGCGAGGTTTGTTTTGTTTTTGGAAGGTACTTTGATTTGATTTCCATGTCCATCATGTAAAATAAATCAATCAATCAATCAATTGGAGATTCTATTTCAAGGCAATATCGCTTGCAGCCATCCAAAGGAGATGCCTATCAGACGTCTGAAATTAGCGCGTCAGAAAAAATGTCGTACTCTAATTAGCGTCTCCCAGAGGACAAGCGGCGAGGAAACGAGGACGGGGCACCAGAGGATGAGAACGCCAAGCAAAAATAACTCAAACTATGATTGGGAAAAAAAAACACACACAACGGAAAAATACAAGAGAAAAAAAAAAGAAAGCGCAATAAAACGATGTTTTATGTTTACAAAACTAAAACTACCAATAACATCCTTCGTTTTTGTCTTTGGTAGGGAATTTAACACCTAAACCTTTGGTGTTGATTTTCAAATGGCTTTATTTCAAGAGTTGCAGCACGGTTATTGACTGGAAGAAGGAAAGGAAAGGAAAGCAGTCGTCTGGGATTTATGCTCATTTCACCAAGTGTCGCCGAGAAGCAACGTCGTTGAGCGGCAGCCAATTAAAAAAAGCGTGACCAGATGACGTTGCTTCCTTGGCAAGAGCCGAGCGTTTCAGCTTGCGTGTTTGGCAGGACTTCCCTACTTTTGTCACTTAACTCAGCCTGAAACACAACGCGAGGTTACAGATGCACTATATGGGGAAGAAAAAAAAATATATATATAATTTTTTAAAATTTTTATTTATTTATTTTATCTGGCACACAAAAAATGCACAAATAAAAAAAAACTGGCAATAATTTCTATATTTTATGTCTTTTAAATTTTTTGGAAAACTCAATTGCTCAACTAATACATGAACATATATGAAAAAATTAAAAATAATAAATCACGAATAAAGCAAATTAAAACAAAATTAAAAAAAAAAAATCAAAATGAAATAAAACTTCAATAAAAATTGCCAAACGGTGGAAAAATAAAGAGGGAGGCCAGCGAGTGGCCGCGGTGACGTTGTTGCGTGGCATTGCTGTTACCTTCGCCCTCCTCCCTCATGGATTTGGGTTCGGAGACGGCGAAGCACTGCATGGTTTCGTACTTCTGCTGCGAGGCTTCCTGTTGGTCATGGTCCGCCACCTGCCAGGCGTCCTCGCCGCCGTCCGAGGTCGCCGCCGCCGCCGCTGCCGGTTTAACCAGCATGCGACAGGTAAACGTGTGACTGTTCCTGCTCGATGGGTCGCCACCGTGGTGATTGACTGCACGTCAGGGACAAAAAAAAAAAAAAGAACAAATGTTGAAATGACTTTTTTTGTTCTTTAAATGAGCTTTTTTGGTGATATTTTCCTTGAAGAAATTTTTGTTACACAGTAAAGTCTTCGTTTTACACATGTATTGTTTTTCTTAATTGATCATCATTTACGACTTTATTCTCAAAATGATTTTAAACATTACAACTTCATAATCATAAAATTCTGAAAATGGAGAAAATAACATTACAAATACAATTACCAACATTACTTGTTTTTGCTTGACATATTGCAACTTTACAATCAGATTTTTTTTCCCTGAAATACGATTTTACATAAAATTAAACAGAATATTACTCTTAAAAAGTACAGATATCGCATTTAAAATGCAACTTTATTCTCAGAACATTGCAACTTAATTTTTTTTTTTTTTTTTTACAAAAATAAAGTACAATTTTGAAAGAAGAAAAAAGCATCCAAGATTTTCACATGTACTTCAGTAGCAAACTTTCACTGTATTCTTATAAAATTAGGACTTTGTTTTCTTGAAATGTTTAAATTTTATATGCTTTTTTTTTTCCCTTCAAAAGTCATACTTTACTCTTGTACTTACAAAAAAAAATGTTATGCAAATAAAATTGAAAGAGAAAAGGAATACTGTAATGTGACAGGGATAAAGTTATGATTTCAACACGATATTCCGAGTTTTTGTTTTCTTGAACTCTCCGGACTTTTCCAAAATGTGCCAAAAGTGAGGAGTTGCAAATGTTGCGACATGTGACTGCGTTGAGTGTTTTGCGGACACCGACCGAGGCTTTTGGGCAGCAGGTTCTTGACAAACTCGGCATGGTCGCCAACGTGCAGGACGCTGTAGACGCTTGTGTTGATCAGCTCCTCCTGCTGGTACAGCAAATACTGACTGACGTTCTCCGACACAAACACCACGTTGCCTTCCATGTTGACCACAAAGAAGAAGCCGTCCAGGGCCTGCGGGAGCAACACCACCCCCCAAAAAAGATATATAAAATTAACACATTAAAAAAAAAATGGCAACACTGTGACGGCGAGACCTCCGTCAACGTTTGAACAACAAATGACAAGCTGACAAACATACAGCAAGTGTTGTTCAATGATGTCATACATGCGGCGTTTCCATTCAGGACAAACGTGCAATCTGGATTTGATTCGGATTCACGTGGACAAAAAAAAAAGAGACGGCGCCTAAGACTTGCTGCCTTCACTTTCTTTTGATAATCTGCTTTTCTGCGAGGCACACACACACACACACACACACACACACACACCCACTTGTAATCAGCTTTCCAACAAGGTATTTATTTATACCTTGGTGCCATGTTGTACATCAGCACACACCCGTGACGCCACAGTGACTTTATCTCCTACCAGAGCAGCGCAACTCCATTTTGGGACAGGACGCCAGGCATACGCCCCGTCCCCCTTCCCCCCTCCAAGACAATCGGGGAGGCGTGGCCTGGGCCCCACACTATTCGGTGGCCTTACCTCCAGCATCATGGGCCCCAGGGTGTCCTTGTCGATGACGCAGCTGGATGAGACGTCAGCCTTCTGCACCTCGTCCGCGTCGGCTACCGGAGTTTTTTCTGTATGAAAAAAAAAAAAAAGGTGATAAGTGTTGCAGGTTTGACGTATTCAGATAACTACACACATCGCTAGCAACAACACTTCGAACCTGCATCTGTACCTTCCACATGCGACAGCGAGCAAAGGGAAATTGAGTCAGATCTTGCATTTGAATTTATGAAATCGTTTTCGCACGCTCGCACGCGCCCGACTGCCCCGCCAGGACGATAAGCCCGGCCGGCATGGCCACATTAGGCCACATATTTGGCATTCCTGGTGTGAGACCAGAGAGGCGTCTTTTTTTTTTTTTTTTTCCGGGCCATGAAAAAGGTTTTGAGGCGGCACCGTCGACTGGCACCTCCGCGGCAAGTCAAGCGTCAAGTCACCTGATGCTCTTCGTACGTTACACAGAGCCAACATTTCAACAACTCTCATCCAAATGGTTGCGCGTCTGGAGGGCCTGCCAAGTGGGAAATTAAATAACCTAGTCCAGCTTTTGTTATAAATGCCAGAAAACGCGTGTGCAAATTCCTCCCGAGTTTTGACAAATTGTGGTGTAACAGTAAGGCTAATTTAGGTCAACAAAAAGACACCGACCAAAATTTTTGAGGAACCCTACCCCTGATTTCACCCAAACATTTGCGTCAAATGAACAACCCTTAAAACAACCCAAAGACAAGAACGACAACCAAATTTGGGTTATTTATTTCGCTCATTGGATTAACAACCCAAAATCTGTGTTGGTCCTTTTTGAACCAATTTGGGTTATTTCGGTTTTGGGAATGAACCTTAACAAACAGTAAGCAGAACTGCTGTGTTTGTACAAATTAGCATTAGCAACGCTAGACACTGATAACTGGCACCTACAACAATATTCAGTTCCACTACACCACAGGTGTCAAACTAAAGGCCTGGGGGCCAGATTTGGCCCGCCAAATTATTTTATGTGGCCCGCGAGAGCAAATCAAATATGTCAACTTTCATGATGCTTGCTAAAATCGCTACCAAAATTTAAACTTCTCATATGGAAGACATAAGAAAGATATTCGTAGCATTTTCTTGTTAGACAACCCTTTATTACAGTAACTTAAACAATAGTTGAATAAACCGACTAGACTTCTTTATCTGGTTTCAGTTATAAAGGCCCTGTAAGGAAAACGGTAACTAAAATGTGGCCCGCAACAAAAATCCGTTTGACACCTCTGCGCCACACCAATTGACAAGTGGTCATGAAGTGCTGCCTGCATCGGTGAAAACTCAATCCACACTTTTAATGTCGTTCGGGGCACAAAAGCTCAGCGAGCAGTCGCCGCCGGCCTCGTCGCAACCCCCTAGCGCTGCCGGTAAGGAAAGTGAAAATATCCTACGCGTACACCATCAGAAGCATGTCTTTGCGTATACGCACCGTGTTCTTTGATGTGCCGTATCTGCTTGACCGTCTCCTTGAGGATAGCGCACTTGTCGGGCTTGACGTTGAGGTCGTCCATGTCGTTGATGTTGGCGAAGATCAGCTCGGCCAGCTCCTCGATGTACTTGTTCTCCTGTTCGCGGTTTCGCCGCTCCGCGCTCCTCTTGGGGCTGCCGGACACAGAGACAAGTCATGTGGTAAGGATGGCGACACGCCATTCAATTAAGGCTTCAGCCTTAATTGGTCTTGTACTGCCACTGTTGTGTTTGCTTTGTGTCGTGTGTGTGGCTTCTGCTGTGCACCGTTTGGCCTCTAAGGGGCAGTGTGGTGCACAATTTTCCCTCATTTAAACATTTCAAAGCCCGGTTATCAAATGTCTCTGAAATAACATAATGGAAAATTTAATATTTGATATTGGTTGACTGATGGGTGGACCTTTGCGACCGATTTCCCCATTTCGATGACTGTAACGGTGTAAGTGATTTTCTGGTGGCGCGGGTTGTGTTAAGAGGCACTGAAAAAAAATTCCTGACCTGGGTCCGAGCACGTCTGAGGGGCAGTCCTTCCTCTTGAGGGACTCGGGGCCCCTGGTGGGCTCGGGGGTGGCGTGCCCCCCGCCGCTACTCATCTTCAGCAGATTTCAGCGCCTGCAGGAGGGGAGATGCCAAAGGAGGGAAAAACTGATTGGAAATGTGAGACGGTGGGACTACAAGGTGTCAAAGCCACATGGTAAGCAGAGCTGCCATGCTCAGAGTAGCAATAAGTTTTCATTCTATTTTTTTTTTGTATTAATTTAGATTAATTCATACAATTATTTGTTGAAATCCATTTGAAGTGTATGTAAAATACATTGAATAGTATTTTGTTCTAATAAACTCTTATATTTATTTTCTTGTTAATATTTAATTGACTGCAATTGGCTGGCAATGAGTTCAGGGTGCACCGCGCCTACTGTCCAAAGTCAGCTGGAATCGGCACGCCCGCGGATCTGATAATGGATGGATGGATAATTATTTATTTTCAGTGTACACAATGTGTGCGTAAAATTAAACACAATAAACTAATTCCATTGTAATTTATTTAGTAATTATTTAAAACAATACAATGTTTCAAAAATTATTTGTGATCATATAAAGTCTCATTTTAATATTGGACTCCTACAAAATTGAATGGGAATGAATCAATCAATTTCACTCAATATTACTGCACCAATTACTTCATGACCTCAAATGAATTAAAATGAGTACATGAGGGCAGTGGGGGGGCTCGATGAACTCCTGCATGAAGTAAAGGAGGCCTCTTGCTCATGTAAACGGTCTGGATGTGGCCTGGGGTCATACTTGCCCCCATCCCTCCACCCTCCCCCTCCCCCCTTCTTCCTCCCCCGCCTGCTCAACAAGAACCCGTCCCGAGCGTCACCTGACTGTTACATAAGCGTCAGCCCAGCGGGGTTAACGCCGAGCAGATGAAGGCAGAAAAGGAGGGATGGTGAAGGAGAGAGAAAACAAGAACGAGCGAGGCAAGAAAACAAGCGAGGTAAGCGAGAAGATGGAGTCGAAAAAGACGGGAGAAACACGTCGGGGAGGGAGGGGGGTGGCGTCAAACAGCAGGAGGGTCATCTCTCCCTCTAAATGAATAATTAGGCCCCGAGGACGACGAAGGAGCGGCCTGGCCTCATTACGGGAGGAGGAAGAGGAGGAAAAAAATGGGGAAGGGGAGCAGAGAAAAATAACAACAGGTGGTCTCAGGTTGCATACCAGGAACTATTGCGCAACATTTAGGCTCTACCCTTTCATTGGACAATAATGGTCAACTGTAACATAATAACATGATAATAACACACACACACACACACACACACACACACACACACCTCAATGATTTCACCACTCATATGACAATCACGTTTTTTCTTCTCGAGTTGAAAAAAAAATGTGTGGGTGCACAAGGGTAGCACAACCTGTGTTCAAAATGACCAATCTCATTCAAACTCACAAGAAATAGGAGTTGGCACATCACTGCCGACATGTAAAGTGACTCTGGTGAACTCCAAATGAAGTTTAGATGTTCTAGCAGGCTTTTCCTGACAATAAGGCACAACAGTGATGGCTTCGAAGTACCGGCGAAATGGATGAAAAGAAGAGAAAAAAAAATTGGTCGGACGAGGCTGCTGAGGATTTTGCTGACAAGCATCTCTGCATTGCTAGCAACCTATATACAATCTGATTTCAATATGTTTGAGGATGTCGCTGATGGTGTCAGGGTCTGCCTGAAGTCAGCTGGGACAGGCTCCAGCAACTCTCCGCGGCCCTGTTCAGGATAAGCCGTGTTGAAAATGGATCAATGGATTGTATTGTATGTTGTATTGTATTATTTCTTATCCGCTCACATTCATTGATGAATGCAGCTCAGTATTTATTCAACATTTTGGCATTTTAACCCTTTCAGGGACAGCGGTTACTACAGTGGACAGCTTATCGTGTTATCAGGTTAAAAGGTCCATGAAAGGGTTCGAAGTTCAATTATTAAGTGTGACAAGTGTTTAGAAGGGTCCCCCCCAAAAAAGTCTGCCTCGACTTCGCAGAAATTGAATGTTTATCAGCATTTTGGGGAACATTTTTAGGGTTTAATTGTTTCAGTGGGATCTTGTTAAGCCTTACAAAACAAGTGTTAAAATGAGGAAAGCTTGCCAATAAAAATCAATTCCCAACACCAGTTCCATCTATGAACACAAAATTGGGCCTGCACGCCTATCATGACAAGAAGCAATCAATCACTAGATAAATAAATAAATAGTCTGAAAACTGCCAAAATCCAACAGGAAGTCAGCCATTTTGAGTGGAAGCAGCCATTTCGTACTCAGTTGCAAAAAATACATATATCAGGTCTTAACACCAGTTTCATTGGATGATTGGCAGGAAATCGGGATGCCTTAACTTTCAGAACATACGACATACGAAACTGAACCGACAGTCCACCATTTTGCTTTGAAGCGGGTGTTCTCGCAGCTTCAATTCAGTTAATTTAGCTCCAGCAAAAATCTCTTGTATAATCAGGGAAGCCAATTTTGCCAAAACAACCAAAAGGACGTTTAACGCCAGCGTCATCTCGCACGGACGTCGGACCTTCCTGACGTCGGCGTCGAAGCTTCCGTCAAGGCTGCACGCACTCACAGACGACAACATCAAGAAGATTTAATACCCGCGATTAGCAACACTGGCTCCTAAAGCGGCAACGTACACACTAGCTATGTGTTTGTGTTGTGTGTGTTTGTGTGTGTGAAGTAATGACAGTATGTCATGGCTGCTTGACGCCGCACTCAGTCACAGGCTTTTACAGTCAGTGACTGTTGCCGTGCGCGACGTGCATTACTGCAGCTGTTGACGGGTGAGTGTGGCGGTGTAGCAGTGAGCGGGGGACGCTGCACACATCCCCTCCCGCCTGTCACCAGGGAGGCCGGTGTTCAATTCTCTAACCAAGGAGTGATTCCTTTCAAGAGCCAGTAAACACTTGGCTTGGGGAAAACCGGGTCAGATATTCAGTGTGGACATGTAGAGTGGTTGCTATGGTGATGTCCCTTTGGACCAGAGTTAAGGTGCAAAGGCGTCCAAGCTCTGAGAGGTAAATCTTCAAGCGGAAGGAAGTTAAATTGAAAGAGTTTGTAGGAATAAAAAGTGGCATTTTGAAGGCTTGTCTTTCATGAGTAGACCCACAAAAAAAAAAAAAAAATCAATGTTTGTCATTTACTTCAGCGGAACATGGTGGCAAAGTTTCATGACCACTGAACAGGAAACTCGTAATCAAACTAAAATTGGGTTTGTACAGAACTCAGCCCCTGAAGCCAATTTCACTTAGCAACATGAAATTTGGAAAGCAGGTCCCTCATGCGTAGGCTCGCCCCCCGCAAAAAAAAAAAAAAAAAACTGCCTCAAGAAGACATGTCTGAAAAGACACAGGAAGTCCGCCACTTTGGTTTGAAGCGGCAAATCTTATAAATTTATCAGGGAACACTGCTGTCTTCTGTCTTGAGTTGTCATGCCGATAAATACCAAAACCCACAGTGAGGATCTGCAGCCACATTGCGCGTTTTCTTTCCCAACATCAACTTCAACGAAAAATTCCGTTTAGGTCATCCGACACGCAAACCAACCAGCAAGTCGCACGCAAACAAACACTGTGACGGAATCTTTGCCATCCCTTTGCCAATGGTTCGCTTTTGTTGTCGCCACCTGGTAGCCGAGTCCTTTCTGCTGAGTTGTTGTCAAAGCTCGCAGACTTGTGACGCCGATGTGGGAAGCAAACTTTACTGGAAAGTTCCACTATCCCATCGGAGACGCCGCAGCACACAAAACATACAACGGCCGTTCGATGAGTCAACGTGAAAAGTAAATCGCATGAGTGAACACTCGGCGGGTTATTCCGAATATTTCAGAAAACAGAATTCAGACCTTAATGCGAATACAGACTGCATGTAAACGTAGTCAATGTGTTTTTAAACAGTAACATAGCCTCTGCTAACTTAACGCTAACACATACGGGCTAACAACTAGCATATTTAAGGTGATGTTAGAACACAATACTCACATGCATATATTCTTGATTCTCTGCAAAGAGCGACTAATATAAGTGTGACTTAGTGAGGAGTGAGGTGCCTATGCATTGGATTTTTTTATTTTTTTAGGCCAATGACAATTCGGATATTGGTCAAAACGAAATTCTGCTAACCCACATAGCTATTTTTACAATACTTTGTCCTTTAGGATTTTTTTTAACTTTCTTTTTAAATTTCTTGCGGGGGTGGGTGGGGGGGTTCTAAAAAAATAAATATATGATGAGAAGTGGTCCATCAAAAAGTGAGTAGTTTTTGAGACACGGCGATTTGAGTGTTGAAACGATTACTGTACTGAAGGCAATACAGACAGTACAAATTTCTCTGTCCAAAAATTCTAGGCGTGTGGCTTTAAAGCTGACAAAGTGAAAGCAAAAACACCTGAACAAAGAGCACACCGTCACAAGCTCAAACTCCAACTTTTTGCTTTTACAGCTGATGCCCTTTTTCCGTGGTGTGTGTGTGTGTGTGTGTGTGTGTGTGTGTGTGTGTGTGTGTGTGTGTGTGCGGGCACGCATGCGTGCATGAGAATTAGCATGTAGTCGCAGCTGCAAAACGACACGAACACATATCGACGAATATCTGCAAGCAGACTTGTTTTTGGATCACGTTAGAACTAAAAACACACTCTTTCCTACAAACACTTTAAAGAGAGGACAACATGAGACAGTGTTATTTGTTAGGATGCTGAGAAATGATGACTCTGCATTCTTCATTCAAAACCAGGAGGCCCCCCGCCTCCCACTCCAAACACAAACAAACAGTCATTGTAACACAAATGTGGTATAAGGTTATAACACTCTAATACATGTGTTATTACAATATCTAACTGTAATGACACTGCAATAACCAAATCGTGACAAATATATTAGTATTATACTCGTTACACCTTACTCAGCAGGTCTTTGGGCTTTCTACACACATTCACACACTGTCATTTTACACAAGTGTGAGACAATAATAAGCGTTATAATACAATACGTACATGTGTTATTCCAATGGCTCTGTGGGCTCACTTCACACAAACACATGCATACACATACACAAACACACACACGCTGTGGGCTCACTTCACACAAACACATGCATACACAAACACACACACAGAGAGCATGGAAGCTCAAAGTCCAGCTCAAATCATGCACAAACTAGCAGCATACGACAATGTTAATTTCTCTTTCTAAAGGCCGCAAGATCGTTGAAATACATGAGAAGCAAAACAATTATTTGCATGTTTTGAGTAAAGAACATAATACAATACATTACAATGCGTTGCTGTTTATATACTGGCAAAATGGCTCAGTTGTGACATTTCTGCATGGGATTTTTACACATGGCGGCCACATGAGTCGACTGTAAAAGCGTAGAAAAGAGTAGAATCTCACCTGTGCTTCTGTTGAACAACTCCATGACCAGTGCCCACTGAGGCAACCATTCCATTACCAGTCAGTGGCTAACGCGACAACAACACCACACACATTGGCCGGACTGCGTCCACTGCTTTCCCTATTTGAGATTACCACTTGCCGTGTGCGTGTGCGCGTGTGTGTGTGTGTGTGTGTGTGTGTGTGTGTGTCATCCCCACTAATGACAGCTGACAAACTACATGCTACAAATCCTCCCTCCCTCACTCTCTCTCACTCTTTCTCAACCCTCCCCCATCATGCTCAGTCACATGCTACTCACACATAGCACAAACGCACACACACACACACACACACACACACACACACACACACACACACACACGCACACGCGCATAGACACACACCTATTAGACACACTGACTTCATCTCAGCAAGTGTAAGAGCTTCTCTCATTCACTTTCATTAGGTTGGATGTTGGAAAAACACCTTCATGTGGCTGCTTCAGCTTTGCGCACTTAGATAATAGGATGGGGTATATATGTTATTATAATGTAGTAAGGGTGTCATTAGAGCTGTTATAGGGCATACAGTATATTATCATCACACACACACACACACACACACACACACACACACTTTATTAAGTGTGGTCTAAGTATTATGACATGGTAATAAGTGTATTATGAGCTTGTGCATTTCTACTACACTACATGTGTTCGTCCAATGACTCTGAGTTTACTAGATGCACAAACTGTTATGACACTGTAATAAACGTGTTATTACAACTTGTATTATTCATATTATTATTGCACAGTCAATGCCTGCTAAAGTCAGAGGATAGGAACTGGGCCACTCCGCAAATCCTCACATAATAGTTGCCGATGCAAGTGTGGTTTAAAAAAAAAAAAAAAAAAACACTGCCAAAGCGTCTCAAATATTGAAACAATTGGCAGGCAGCGTGGGTGCATGCTAACCATGGCGTATGAAATGCTAACACCAGGAATCGACATGACACACCCCCTGGAATCGAATGTAGGGATGCAGTGTGCATGTGATACGTTTTCACAAGCTCACCTTCGGCGTTAACCCATTAGCGGGACCCGGACCTTCGATAACAACAACAGGACCTGTTGTGTTTCCCACAATCGGCAAGAGCCAGCAGCGGTATGGTTCCGCTCCAAGGTTCAGCCTCTTCCCACCATCTTTGTTTCACGAGCTGACAAACGAACACTTTTACCCCCCAAAAACATACGCGTGTTTTTTTATTTGAACAGCTGAAGCGATGTCGAAAGTGCAATGCGCGGCGAGCATCCACCTGCTGGATGAGTGGGCAGGAAGTCACATGATCTCCCCAGTGAGTCACATCCTGTCTCCCGCAACCTCCTCCTCGGTCACGCTCGACGTTTTACCATGCAAGAAAACGGGACGAGGGAAACCTGCCCCCAAATTTTAATCTTCCTACATGAGTTCATTTGTTTCTAGTTTAGTTAACACACATTGTGATGTAAACCAAGGCGGTCTTTTTCCCTTGTTGCTGTTCTGCGTGAAAGGTAGAGGCACAAAATCCGGTGCGCCATCTTGTTTTCTTCGTATGTGAACTCTTTTAACCTACTTGAATTAACATTGCATGCAATTTCTGCCCTCTATGACAGTTTATCCAGAATCTGTGTGAAAAGGCGCCAACACAAAATGGGGGGACGAGGTAGCATCAGAGGAGAGATAGCAACTGCGTGAAAGGGGATAGGAGAAAGTCGGAACGGAATTCAACATCATTAGTTTGATGTTAATGTACCCAGAGAGTTCAAGGGGCAAAAAGTTGCTGTTGGTCAGCCACACAGTTCAAAATAAAATATTTTAATCACAATACTGTCAAATGTCGATAGCTGTACTCACGGTGATGATACGGTCACAATCCGATAATATTCCGTGCCTCAGTCTGCATGAAAGGTATTGGCACCAACTGGGGGCGGTGGCGAAGGCAAACATTTTCAGCTGTGAAAAAGAAGAAGTGCGCTTTTTGCTTGTGAATAGCTTTTTCCCAAACATCTGCTACTTCTTCCCACTTACACCCTGTTTTTGAGCATAAGTGTGGGTGTGTGAAGTGAACCCATAAAGACATTGGAATAACATGTGCGTGATAGTAAGACATAATAATTTTATTTCTGAGATTTTATTGCAGTGTAATAACACATTTATTACATTGTATCAGCAGTTCTACCACTTTTGACTTGAAAGGGCTTTGTGTGTGTGCGTATGTGCGTGTGTGCACCCGTGCGTGGGCATAAGTCGAGCTCAGCAGGCTGAAACCACTTTAAGAGGCACCTGCCACCACCACCAGCGCACACTGCTGTTACATTTGTGTGCCCGTGTGTGTGTGTGTGTGTGTGTGTGTGTGTGCGTGTGTGAGAGACAGCTGATTTTTAGCCTGCAAACAAACACACACACACACACACACACACGCACACACACACACACACACACACACACACACACGCACACACACACACACACACACACACACACACACGCACACACACACACACACACACACACACATAGCAGAGTGACTCAACAGGCTGTGTGTGTTTACAAAGTGAGTGTAGTTCAATTCAAACTAATAAACACATTTGTCATATTTGTATTTGTGGTCACAAGGGACACGAACAAACAACATGCATGCAGTTATGCAAACAAAAAAAAGTGCTGTTACAGCTTTCTTAAGTCTCTTTAGCATCATGCTAACAGACAATACAAAATGCCATAGAGCGGCGAACAAAGAGCATTGCTTTTTCGGTGTTACAACCCCTTAATGGCTCTATGAACACGAGCGTCATCACAGTCAAATATAATCTACAGGCATCTATTGGATTGAATGATGGCATTGCTGTTATATTTTTATGACGTACAATAATATCGAGTGCTCTTTGCCTTATTTAAGAAAACCACTTTTTGAATTTTTCTCAGAGTTTTTTTTTTTTTTTTGAGGGGGAAACGTTTAATTGCATTTCCGGGCAACTTTGCACTCTTGTTCATCCGCGTCACTCTCCAGGCCAGGCCGCACCTTTAAAAGCCACACACATTCAAAGTCACAGACACTACAGAGAAGAACGTGTGATTGGTGACCACACTTGGACAGATGTCTGCACCAAACATGCATATTTTGGAGTGGAAGATTATGAAGATTTGAACTATATCAAAAAATAATCCAATAAATAGTCTTGCTATTTTAGCAACACCCACCCACATCCTAACAAAACCTGCTGTAAAACAAGCCGACCGAGATATGCCCACAATTCAGTCGTTATTAGTTAATCCAACTCTCAAATCATATTTACACAAATAACTGTCATATTAATATGGATACCATGTAAGAAAATGTTTTATTGTTGGACTTTCCAAAGGCGTGTGTATCCTGCGCAACTTGCCGACTCAGCCCAAATGTCACTTTCACATCTGGGAGGGGAAAAAAAAAAATCTGAAAAAAAGTTGCGTCTCAGCATATGACAGCTGGCATTTCGTAAGCCCGAGAGAATTTACAATCATGCTTTGTGCTTTGCGTCGGCTTGTATAAATGCGCAAAGACACGGAAATGTTGTTGACACTTCTCACTCAGTGGATAGCTGGCAAAGTGAAACCAGGAAGTCTTGAAAGAATACAAATAAGTGCAAGGACAATTTGGCCTCAATGCTGAATCGCATTCAATTGGAGGACATTTTGCGAAAAGCAAAACGTCGATTGAACCACCACATCTTTCGTGCAAAATGCTTTTTGGCCTTGCTTGTTCAAGAGTTTGGAGGGTAAAAAAAAAAAAAAACATCTAATCAAATGCATGTTTGTTTGGTTTTTTGTGTTCAATTCATTTATGACGGGCATCAATTATATGCAGATTTTCGCAATTTGTGGGTCCAGTCGCTTAGCCCCAGAAATAGCGGCGGACCGACTGCATTTGGCATTTCTGCAAAGTTTTGGTCAAACATGTACGCAAAATTTTAAGGCCAATGGGATCCAATTTGAACACCATTCTGATCTATTCCAAATGGCGACAAGGAACGGGCCATCGGAATCACAGACTGAATGACCAAGATTTGTCATTTTGAAGAAATGTTGCTCTTCTCTTTAGTCCGAGTCTAAGACTTTTTTTTTAGACAATTTCAGGAGAACCAAATAACATTTTAAAACCACATTTGCTAAAGATTACAACTACACTCAACAATATTTGTCATTCTAAAGAGATGTTGCTCATCTTTTTTTTGATTGCAGTATTTTGAAAAGCCCACCAAAAATCGGAATGATTTCAAAGATTCATTTACGCCTTGTATGCAATTTTCACGCACAATTTTCCCGTGCAATACTTTCCAAGAATCCATGATTCCATTCAGTAATTCCCCTCATCAAAATAGAACATTGGTCCAGAGTTACATAACTGATTGATGTTCTTTTCAGCTCATCAATCACGGACATTTTCCTCCAAACATCTGTTGCTAACGAGGATGTTGAAGCTTAAAAAAAAGAAAACAAAAAATAATATGCGTCGGCAGATGACGACGATAAGTGCACGTTGCTATGGCAGCATGGAAGGAAGGAATGACGGACAGGCGGACTGATAGATGGACAGACGGAAGGAGAGGCACCACAATTAGCTGGAGCCCAAAGCCTGTTAAGCTATTAGCTTGCATTAGCGCTGCGCCGCCGCCCGCCCCAAGCAGGTCACGGCTTGGGCCAACCAAATTAGCGCTAGTTGTGTAACGGGCGAGATTTAGAACTGGCTTTGCAGACGCTGCGCTCGCCGCCTACAGGCATTAAAACCTGCAAAAAAATGAAAATGAGGAAACGGGTTCTGTTTTGAGCAAGACTTGGGAAAGCATTTGGTACGACATGAGCCAACAACAGACACGCTTAAGTCTTTGTATCAGGGGGTGATTTTTTTTTTTTTCAAGAAAACTGTTTTCTTTCAAAAGTTTTTTAAGTTACAATCATGGCATATAAATTATTGTGGCAATAATCGTCATTTTCTCACTTTTGTTTGGTTCTAAGAAACTCAGATTCCAAAAAAAAATTATAAAAATGGGGGGGGGAAAAATACAAACTCACAACAATATTCTTCATTTAAGAAAAAAAATGTCTGAATATCATACGATAAATATGACAATACAAGCAATCTTACAAAAATATGACATCCGAATTTTACAACAAAAATATTGGAATATTATGAGGAAAAAAAATCTTTTACTAAAACGTACAATTCGGCGAGATTAATGTCCCTGTTTGATTTGGAAAATATTACAATATTACTCTAATTTTGTACTATTTGAATGGGGGCGGGAATCTTAAACATACCTTAATAATGTACAATTTTCTAAAAATGAAAGGAAAATATAATCTTTCAAGAATAAGGATCTAATTTTGCAAGAAAATGTTGGAATATTATGAGAATTATTTTCTCTTAAAAAAAAAAAAAAATCTTCCAAGAAAAATGTCCCCATTTTGCTATGGAAATGTTGGAGTATGAGAAAAAAGTTGAAATGTCCATGCATCCATCCATTAATTTTATAAACCGTTTTATCTCCACACGGCAGACATAGATGAAGAACTATCATTCACGCTCACAATTACACCTATGGACAATTTTGAGCATTCAATCAACCCATCATGCATGTTTTTCGGATATCGGAGGAAACCCACGCAGGCACGGGAAGAACATGCAAACACCACAAAGGGAGGCCAGAGCCTGGAATCGAACCCCGGACCTCTGCACTTCCTCGTAAACCCGACGCCACTCAAACAAAACAAAAAAAAACTTTTGAAAATCTCAAAGATTGCACAAAATGCAGCAAGTGCCATGTCGCAATCCTTCTCAAAGTTCAGGTTTGGGCTGCTGAGAAAAGCAAATAATCCCAAAACTGTTGAAAAAGTTACACAGGTCCAACGCTAACAGATAACATATCGGCGCAGGCAAAGGGTCACGTGAGCCAAAAAAACAACACGACTGCACAAACGCCGCACAACCGCAAAAGTGCCGACTGACAACAAGAAGGCCAACTCATAAGAATCGACGACAACTGCAGGGGAAAAAAAGCACAAAGATCTACACAGACTTTTTCAAGTTGAAATGTAACTCCACCGGCGAGAAGAGTTTCAAGCAAAGATCGTGCAACCTGAAAGTAGCAGCAGCAGATTTCTTGAGATTTACAAGCCGAATGCTGGCATTAAAGCGCAATTTTCAGTGTACATTTTCCTAAAAAATTTACAAATAGAACTTTCACACAATTACACATTTTTCACCAGTTTTGTCAGTAAGGTAAAGCAAAATAAAGGCCTTTTGCTGTGTCTGTGTTGCTATCTGGTATATTCCACCTGCCCAGCTTGTATTCGCACTCGGTATGCATATTTACATATTGGAACAAATGCAAATTTTAAAAAAAGCAATAAAAAGTCAAGTTAGTATTATATTTGTTTTTCTTGAACTAATTATAAAATAGTAACGGTGTTTCCGTGTTTTTAATTTAATCAGCTGAGAAAACTACTGTACATTGAATTTTTTTAAACTGTTTTATTTTGAAACGCCTCTACCGGAAATGCGGCGTATTTAAACTCAAAATTGATGTCCGTCCGCACCAGCCGCTTTAAAACGGCCATCGTGCAGCGAAAAGACGTTTTCTACACACTTTACCATAAAACACATTTCAAGTCGGATCTCGTTTACAAGTTGTGACCTTTTCATGATACTTTTCTAATTAACAAAAATGAAATGTGGCCGGGTGCTCTCACTTCGACCTCCTTGATGTCGATCAGGAAGCCGATTAGACATCAAACATCAGTCATTCCCGGGGATGTTTGACCTATTTAATAGATTCGTTGGACAGCACATTCTCGCGTTTGACAAGAGGCGAAATAAAGTCACTTTCAATCCATTTTGTCCCCCATTCTGATTGCTTCTCCAAAGGCTCGCTTGACGAACATGTCGCCCGGCAGCATCGAGCGCCTCTTTGCCGCTAACACGCGCAACACCCCCGAAGCCTTTTCGACTGAGCAAAGCAAGCTGCGCCGTGACATGTTCTCGAAACAACTCAGAACACGACTCGTGCTTCTTGTTCGACAGTTGAATATGGTGCGGGGGGGGGGGGCGCAGACGACAGTAACGGCAATTGTAAAGTACAAATCCACCGCACCTCCTCTCAAAGGGGGGACGACGTCGGGGAGTGAGACATGCAAAGAGCTCCAATTGAGTTGGAAAATGCACCGCAAACAAAAGTGTTTGTGGGCTCGCGCGAGTTAAAGAGCGTGAGGTGGGGGTCGACCGGAAACTTACCTGACAGCTGAGTGGCGGAGTGCTGGCGCTGAGCGGGATGGCCGAGCCGCTGCCGTCTGATACGTGTGCGGCGCCACCATGTTGGGAAGGTACAAACGACAGGGCGGTACACAAGAAGGGCAGCCAGTCTGACTGCCGGCTTGTTTATCTGCTCGGCTACCGATTGCCACCACCCCCCTCGATCGCAACTTCCAACCCTCCTCTTGCAGACCACCTCCCGCGGTCACTTTATTAGGCAAAGCATCCAATGACAGCCAGTACAAGAAGAACTGAGCCTTTCTATTTGCTCACGTCTAGAAACGCATGGCCACCACGGATGCAATATTGCAACCCAAACATCCATTATCCAAACACCCAAAAAGTTGCTTATGATGGTTTGGAAGCATCAATCCATTCATTTTCTCTCCGACTTGTCATCATTTGGGTCCCCGAGGTGTTGGAGTCTATCCCAAACTAAAATTGGAAAAAAAAATTGGGTTGAACTCTTATAAAAACGAAAATGCTTTAAAAAAATCACCAACCGGAAACCACCTTGCTAAAATTAACTAAAAACTAAGTATAATTTTAGCAAAAATATCATTTGTTTTCATCTTTGTCAATATCGCTGAACTTTCGGGGGTTCATTTTAAGTGAATTAATTTCAGTATTGCTAAACATCCATGAACCAGCTCGGGTGTTGAAGTTTATGTTACTTTATTACACAATACAACAGTGACCTTTTTTTGTTTTTTTTTTAAATCTTGTACTCAACAAATTACACTATATAGTTAAGAAAAAACTAATCCTCAAACTAATGACAGCTAAACTAAAGCAAGGCATTTTTGAAGAAATAAAACCTGTGAAAAAGGCATAAACCTGCTCTAAAATCTAATTAACAGAATTTGAAACACATACGTGTCAAAACGAAGTAAAAACCACCTATTTTGAAAAATCAAAAACTATTATCCTGTTGGCGCACATGTTGACAAATAATCTGGATCCTGATACATTTTTTTTAAAGTAGACTATACATCTCTTAAATTGAATTTACTCCATTTTATTTCGTTAAGTGTACTGAAGTAACCTTTGCGGTCTGGACGCACTGCAGCACGTCGCTTCACCTTTGTACATGTACACGCTCTTCTTATTCGTCTGCAAATTATTTTCACCGAAGTCACCTTTGTCATCAACCGTTTGTCTCTCTCTCTCTCTCTCACACACACACACACACACACACACACACACACACACACACACACACACACACACACACACACACACACAATCTCAAAGTCCTCTTTCACTTGTCAATATTCCACTCACAAGTTAACACACTGACACTTGCAGAGGTCAGTTGGTTTGTTATTTTTTGCTATGATGCAAGTTATAGAAGAATAGGAGCATGATGCCACCTGACTCACAGTATATCAATCAATCTTTATTTAATTTATCAGCATCTAGCATTCGAAAAAGAACGAGTAGCTGCTGCCACCGACTGGCTGACACAAGAATGACAAGATTTCCAATGTTTTCGAAGGCACTGAAACAGTAATTGGGGATATTATCATGATTTAATAAAATTAAGGCCGACAGTTCAGTAGGTAGCAGTGATTCCCAAACTGTACGGGGCCTGGCTTACATCCAAGGGGTGCGCCAGATTTACAGCGGTCGATTGACAGTGTTTTTCCAACTCAATCAAAAGGTTACAAGTGAGCATTTGTACTCAAATAAATATTATTCTCAAAAAAAATACACATTTTGTAGTTGTCATTCCCATTGTTAGGGGTTTCGTTAATGTTTTTTGACTGTAGTGGCCTTTTCCAAATGTGTCGGTTCAATTTCACGCTTCAATCCCAAGTGCGCTTCACATTTGTGATTAATTATTGCCAATATTATTTTTTTGATTGGCTGAGAAAAGTCACTCGGTGACTCATTGTGAGGTGTGCAGGTACAGCCAGCGTGAACAATTAAGTTATCAAAAATATATAATAAATTCTTACAGAGGTGGTTAAAAAAACGGATCTGTGTAACTCATTCACTTTGTTTTTTTTTCAAGAAATTCCTGTTCATTTCTTAATTCACTTTCACAATGTTGTCGTTGCTTTTGAAGTCTTTTGATGCCATTTTCACAAAACATTTCCATTTCTTTGCTTTTGACTCCTGTTCCCACCTTTAGCTTGACGTTCCCTTTTTGTCTATTCACGAATAACCACTTGTTTGATTGTTGTGATGCTTTTTGTGATTGCGATTGCTCAAGACATAAAAAAAATAATAATAATCTATACATTACATTCATCAGTGCAAAGAAATTAGAAATCTCAACAGCAGCTCTTGTTAGCACACTGCACAAGGCAAAATGGCCGCCCCGAGATGAATCAAAATGGATGGATTTGTCTGATTAATTCATGTCCCACAAAAAAAACGAAACATTAATCAGAAACCAGTGTTTAGACTTGAGGGGGCACACAGATGATTGTCAAGAACATTCTTGACTTGACTTCCCACTTGAAGTGGCCCATAAACAAAAATGAGTTGAGTCAACTTGACTTGATTATGTTCCATCCTCCTCATCAAAGATTACTCTTCCATGTGGTGTTTTGTGACGATCCAGCAGTCACTGAGTGGGGGGTAGGAGGGGGAATGTGTTGCAGTAAAAACAGTATAGACGTGTTATCTGTCGTCATGTTTACGTGCCCTTTCCACAGATAACTCACCTTGACTTATTTTGCCTTCTTTCTGCAGTTTCTTCAAGTGGTGCACCAGGTTGATGTTGGCCACCTCATGAAGATGCTCAGGAGTGTCCTGCACCGCGTAGACGAAAAACGGATTATGATCTCAGATTCCCCCCCCCCCCCACAAAAATCATGTTTCCCATATGAATCAATTGTGTTCTCCCTTTGCTTCTGGAAAAAGCAAACAATGAAATCACTCATAAGAAATGTCAGGGTTTTTTTCCAGTTTTTCCAGGACATTTGACTATTTTTCTCATTTTCCAGGTGTTTTTTGAATGACTGGAAAATTGGTCAATCCTTTTGCAGGTTTTCCAGGATGCGTGGGAACGCTAATTTAAGTGGATGGGTAAATCTGCTCAGCCCCCCGCCAAAACATGCAGAACAGGAGAAAAATGCCCAATACGGTTTCTGCCATCCACTTAATACTGTCACTGACATTTTTTTTGTGCCAGATACACACAAAGTGGGAGGAGCAATCCTAAAATGTGGCTGCTTATGTACTGTCAATTCAGGCTTTCTGCACATTCTCCAGTCAACATGCCAATTTTTCTTCAAAACGCGCACCAGTGGTTCAGCGCCCTCTGAAGGTGAAACATCATACTGCACTCGTTGTGGTTTGTGAACAACCATCAGTTTTGTGTGGGTTTTGTTTTCTGACCTTGTAGACAATCTTGACAAGCTCCATCGAGGAGAAGGACTTTCCAGCTGCGTCCCGAATGACGGCCAGGATCTGTTGTTCCCTCTGATTGCGGTGGCTGATGTATTGCTGGATTTTGGCGCCGGCGTCCTGAACTACGGGACCGTGACCTGCGCACCAATTAGAAGCGTTTGACATTAACTTTTAGTTCAATGAGAAAAGGAGAGACCTCCACCGAGGCACGATAATCCTGATTAGTATCACAATATAAAGCTGATGTCTCAGTTTTCAACCCAAAAGTGAAAGGAATGTATTAAATTTTGATTCGTGGCCAAGAAATGGAAATGGGGAGGGGGGAAAAAATTTGATTGATTCAAAACTTAAACTTACAAAACTTCATTTTCCGTTGGCCCATGCCAAGGAAGATTAAGAATACAACTGCAAAAACCGTTGGACAGCTGATTCATCACATGGCTCTGTTATCGTGCTAACTGGCACAACATCAGCTTCCGAGGACACGCCTTGGTGGAGGTACATAGAAAAGACAGCAGCAACAGTGTGAAAGGTAGACTTTTCCCTCACCGGGGTAGATGAGATCGGCGCGGATGTCCATGAGTATCCTCAGCGAGCGCATGTAGTCGTGAAGGTCCTCGAAAACAACTGTACCCTCGCCCAGGATGCAGTCGCCCGAAAACAGAGCCTGCTCCTCCTCCAGCAGCAACGACATGTGGTCATCGGTGTGGCCCGGCGTGAAAACCACCCTGACAACAAAACGGACATGATGATGAAATCATAGCTTCCGAGTGATTGTTCGAAATGACATCCATTGTTTCATTCCCCACCCCCCCATTTTAGAACTTTTTTTTTTTTAGATCAGAACTTACTTGAGTGTTGCTCCCTCCGTGTGGACCACATCGCCGTCTTTCAAGTACGTGTACTTGTGGCTTCCCGAGACCTCCTGGACCTTGCTGGATCGGGGGAGTTTGCTGACACGGATCTCAGAACCTGCCGCAAACGTACACTTCCTGTCAAACATCTCTTATTCAGTTTTCAAAGCTTTTTTTTTTTTCACAGGGGGATGGGGTGGGGCAACATAGTTGCAATGTCCTCACCCGTGATTTCCCTGCAGATGTCCTCCACGCCGCCCGTGTGGTCAGGATGCCAGTGCGTGACCAGGATCTCCTGAATACTGGTATTGAACATGCTCAGCGCCTCCTTCAGACTGGTGATGTACTCGGGCACGGCTGATTCGCCCGTGTCGATGAGTACTCGTCTGAAGAACATCCATATGGTACATAAAAATAAGAATCGAGTCTGTGTATTGGGTCAAAAGGTCATCTGAATTTTTGTCATGAGATCATTTTGGTGCATGTGATGCACATTGAAATGAAAATGAACGCAACGATTGTTTCCATTTGCTTCCATTTATTCCAGCGAGTGTAGTGGATTCACTTACAACTAAGCAAACCTTCAGACACATTCAAATGGAGTTCAGCTCAACAACAGGTACAAAAAGTCTTCTGATAATGCCTGGTATTAACATTAATGTATATTCATATAGACTGAAATATCGATATATAAAATCAGTATATCAGGCCCTCCATAGGAAAACGGAACTACAACGTGGCCCGCGTCAAAGATTCGTTTGACAACCCTGACCTACAGTCAAGCAAACCTAAAATTCGCACAAATTGTAATGAGTGTCTGTCACATTTTAAGTAACAAAAATTGTCCACATAGCGATCTTACGTTATAATCAATCTTCCAAAATCAAAGAACGTCATAGTAATGTTTAGGCCACCTGTCACCGGTTCCGACCAGGTAGGTGTTGGTTCCCTGCAGCGTCTTCGGTCCCGGGTTGCAACCCAAAACTCGAACCACACGGGCAGACAACTGCGCGATACGCGGAATGACACTCATGGCCGGCAAGTCAAGCCAAAAGGCGTGCAGGGTTGTCAGTGACAACGACTACGACTACGTATTAGTCGTCGTCTTCGTCTTCTTCTTCCGTATTCTTCTTCTTCGTCTTCTTCTTCTTCTTTGTCTTTTTCTTCTTCTTCTTCTCCTTCGTCGACTAGAAGGATTTGTTTAGCTCGGGATGTAGCCGATTGTAGCAGAGGAGATGTTTAACGCCAAAAAATAAATAAATAAATAACCTTTGTCAAAATATGACTTGGGACATTATTTTAAGAGGCTGCCATTGTTAACTTCCTATTTCCGAGCAGCCTTCACAATAAAAATGTGCCTCCGATAAACACTGCTGTTTCTCAAACTGGACACTTGGTGGTGCTATTGTTTGATGTAATAAGTTTTTGTCGAGCGGAGTCTGGTGCTGGATTCAGGGACAGTCTGATATCACAACTTTCCACTTTCTAACGCATTCAGGCGCTGCCTTTGTGGATAGTCAAATATCACTTTGGGCCACAAAATCAATAGATTCATCAATCTATCCGTTTAATGTCATGATTCTGATCGTGTGTGTCTCCAGCCGGTGGCGGAGGATGGCCTTCCCAATGGCCAGCTATTTAAGGACTTCCTCAGCATGTTTTTTGCACTTACCTTTGTCGGTAGTTTTCGTTGTAATTATTTGTCATGGTGTTTTGTATCATCCGCTATTTTTTGACAAGCCATTTCCATTTATATGTTGTCCTTGCTTTAGATTAGATTAGATTAGATTAGATATCCTTTATTTGTCCCACACTGGGGAAATTTACAGCCTTCAGCAGCAAGATTGTGGGTAGAAAGAAGAGAAAAGAAAACACAGTTCAATTAAGTGCAATATAAATACAAACATGGATAAGGTCAATAATTAAGTGCAATATAATACAATAGTCACAGTACTATTCACATATGTTGTCATAGCTGTCACTTATGTTGTCATTTATGCAACTGTTTTGGGTTGTTTCGTTTTACCAGCATCCTTTGTTGTTCTTTGTCGGTTTTGCGACCTATTTTTTTTGGAAATAAATCATATTTTTTCAATTATTTCTTAGTTCACGTTTCTGGATTCCAATCTTGTCCGGAACCTTCCGGAAACCCGAACAATCTATTTAGCTAGCTAGCTCATCAGCAAGATTTGCGGATGCCTGATCATGACCCTGATCATTTCAATCAGGTGTGTTGGCGGAGGAAGATTTCTAAAACAGGCTGGATAGGGCCTTCGAGGACCAGACTTGGGCAACCCTGAATCTAGCTTTAGTCTGGCGTTACCTTCAGGGACAGGGTGAAATCACAGCTTTGCTCACGATGTGTATGTGAATGCTCATAAAAGATGCAATTTCTTTCCTATTTAATGGAGCCTCTTACAACACTAAAACAGTACATATCCGCCTCCCTACAATGCACTGGTCCAATATCGTCTATCATATTTTTATGAGGGGAGAGGTGGTTTTTTTTTGGGGGGGGGGGTACATGTTGACCTCGTTGATGCCATATCATCAAAGGGAGGCGCTAAATCCACTTCATGCCTCCTCTGGTATTTGTCTGCGGTGATAAAATGAGGCGCCGGCTGGAATATTTACAGGTGGAATAAATGGAGGGCGGTGTCAAAGCCCCAACATCCCCCCCCCCCCACACACACACACGCGCACACACACACGTAATTACTTGACGTAATGGCAGTGCACCGGGCCCGTAATCTCCCATTAGAATCCGTCTGGATGCCTTCTAATTCAATATAAATGCAAATGATTGGAGGGGGGCAGGGGAGAGGAGAGCAGGTCTGACACTATACAGCAACAGTACGGTTGAGCCTGCCGCGTTCACGATGCTTCCTGTCTGTACAATGTGGAGCCCGAGCCTGCTTGCGGCTTCGCGTACTTAGATGAGTGATGATGCTGGAGTCACTAGTTGTGGATGGACGGTGGGAAAGAAAAGACACTGCTGCCACATTTCTTCACCTCCAGCAACTGCTCGTCCTTTTTCTCCTCGTCCTGTAAAGTCCTTTCTGATTCTCCTCTTTCCACTTTCATCCCCCAGCATACTCGACCTCCCCCTCATTCCAACTCATTTGAAGGATCAAAAAAATCCTCTTGTCCGCTTACATTGCCTCTCGAAAAGAGCAGACGGAGGACAAAAAAAAACCCGCTGCGTTTCCAAGAGCCATCTTTGGCACTTTCAAGACGCTATCGGCGGTCGTTCAAGAGTTGACTTGAACTCGGTTGCTAACCAACACAGCAGCACAACACAAGAGGCACGTAAACAGTCTCTCGGATGACGATCGGACATCATGGAGCATTTTCGTGTTAAGGCAGACATTGATGTGCGTTCGCCATGAAGGGAATGTTGTGTAGCGTGCTTTGCCGAACCTCTCTGCAACTGAGTAATTTGGAGCAATTTTTCAATCCAAATTTTGGGAAAGGGTGCTTGTTGAATGAGTGTGCGCGTATTGGTGTGATCATTTTTCCATCTCCCGATGCCCCCTCCAAATTCAGAATGTGACCGAAACCTCATCCAGACGATTGGTCACCTCATCTTGGCGACATCGCTCCCTGATTGGACGGCAGCAGGGGCTGGCGGTGGAAGTCGCTGATGTGTTTGTGGCTGTTGCTAAGCTCCTGTTGCTAAGAGGCCGGCCGCTGTAGCTAGGAGACGCGTGATGCATTATGGATGTCAGCCCGCTCCGCTGAATTGCTGATGAGCCCCTCGTCGACTGACGCCCGATTGTGTCCGCCACAGAAGGTGTCAAACAGTGAGACGTGGCTGCCAAGAGGTCACGCATACGACATCACTGAGCCACTTTTAAAACTGCAGGTTTGAAAGGAACCTAAATTGTGCGAAATAGCAAACCCAGCGCTTGGTTCAAAAGAGATTCCAGCCAACACTGAGTTATTCAAAGCCAGCGCATTGGGTTCAGGAATTACTGGCTCAATCCCCCCCCCACCTTCACCCTGCTCTGAAACCGTAATTTGAAAACCCAAGCCCAAATTTCAACCCCTAGTTTCAAACCCTAATTTAAAATCCAACCCTAGTTGAAAATCCTACTTTGAAACCCGAACCATACAGTATTTCAAAACCCTAACCATAGTTTGAATGTGTAATTTGAAACCATAACCTTAGTTTGAAAACCTACTTTGAAACCCCGGTTTAAAACCCTACCCCCTATTTTAACCCTTTCAGGGACAACGGTTACTACAGTGGACAGTTTGTCAGGTTACAGGCTATCATTGTTGGTGCATGAAAGGGTTAAACATCGAACCATAGTTTGAAAGCGTAATTTGAAACCCTAACCCTAGTTTTAAACCCTACTTTTAAACATAGCCCTAATTTCATATCTATTCATCGATCCATTTTCAATTCGGCTTATCCTGAAGAGGGTCGTGGGGGTTGCTGCGGCCTATCCCAGCTGACTTTGGGCGAACGGTGGACCAACCCCTAAACTGGTTGCCAGTCAGTCACAGGGCACATATAGAAACAATCAATCATACACACCCGCATTCACACCGCTACTGAGCGGGAACCGATCCCATGCCGCCCGCACACAAATCAGGCAAAGTGTGCCACTACACCATCAGCGACTTAGTTTAATAGCCTAATTTGAAACCCTTAACGATAGCTAGAAAGGTTAATTTCAAACCCTAAGCCTAGTTGAAAACCCGACTTTGACGACCTAACCATCATCTGAAACCATTAAAATGTGACTGCCAATGAGAAGAAATGACTTTGACATCAACGCTAAGCTAATGACATCAACGCTAAGCTAACACCGCTTAGGTAGTTGTCAGTCGGGCTTCCGCCGCTGCTGCTAGTTGTTACCATTTTGTCTTCAAATGCGCTTGGGGGCCAGGGAAGCGCATTTGAAGCAGATGCCAAAGCGCATCCACGAGAAGCCTGCTCCTCTTCCTCGTCCAGCTGTCAAGCTGGCGTGTGCGATTGTGCAAAGCAATTTTCCCATGCTAATCTCGCACTACTCAGTGCGGCGCCATTGAGGTGGCAAAGGCAGCGGCAGACGCCACAAGTGACCCGGCGCCCGAGGAAATGGGCCACCTGATGCCCGTAAAAATCACATTTTCTCTTCACAGTTGGACACTCCCCAAACATTCGAGCAGGGGTGGGCAACAGACGGACACTTTTTGGACCAGCACATCGAAGATATTTATACTTTTTTTTTTTTTGTATGGCGTGTTTGGAATAAGCATTCAGTAACAGAAACATTATCGGAAAGTGGAATTATTGTCACATACAATGTGCTTTTCCCCCTCTTATATTTGGTTGTGGAAATGGTTTCATTTTTAAAATGTATTTAGCTGTAGTTGGCTTCAGGGATTAAAAAACTATTTTCTACAAATGCAATATTTCCATGTGTTGTTTGCGAATTTCAGTTTGATTAATTTATTCCGTAATTACATCATCGATTCATTGCAAAACACGACAAAAGAATTCAAATCACATTTAACCCTGTCGGGGACAGCGGTTACGACAGTGGACGGCTTATCATTACTTGTGCACGAAAGGGTTAACGATTTCTTATGAATACCATGAAAATTACATAAAAATATTGGTTGTAAATAATATATTTATATTATATAAAATATATATATAAAAAAAATAAATAAATGTATATATACGAATCTACATCATTGTTTGATTGACTGTAAACAATGCTATGAAAACATTTTGATGTGGACAAACTTAGCAAATATTGGCTTATCTATTGTATTAAACAACTACGTACACTTAAAATTAAATTTTTTAAAAAAAAAAGCAAAATTAATACATTTACGATAAAAAAAGGATTTTTTTGCAACTATATTTACATCGTTCATCCTTTTAAATAGAAAAAAACCCCCAAACAAACCAAAACATATTTGCCCATTAATCTTGCACACATGTGCACGCACACACTGAGTTTTACTTAATAAATACTCCCCACGTAGGACATTTACAATACAACTTTATTGACACCAATCGAACAAAATAGCTCCCGTTGCTTTTCTGTACAATGTGCTGATGCCATCTGCGTGCGCGCGCACGCACAATTGTACTCGTCGTAGCACACGGCCAACAATCAAATAACCACCGAAAGAATGATTGAAGGATTGAACCTTGAGTCCCGGTTGTAGCCGATTGCTATCTGTCTGCGTGTTTGCTGAGAAAGAAGGCAAGCTGAAAGAAAAGCACTCGGCAAGATGGCAATCACGTGGCTAACACAGCAAACAATTGCAAGGAATACCACAAACTGGATTTTCTCAGGTCGTAAATGAAGCCATGACGAAGCCTGGACGGGCATATCGAATTCGGGCCCGACCAAAATGGATTCCCACGTTTACCGTCAGAGAATTCCTATGACTGACTCAAAAAAAAAAAAAAAAAGATCAATAAATTCACTTTTTTTTTTTTTGCTTGTTTAATGTTTACAACAATAAGATTATTGATTACAGGCAGAACAGAAAACGTTTTTCGGATCCTATCTGCCTATTAATGAAATGAGGCTAAATCGGTCGGGCCCTAATTTTTATCTTCACTTCACACAACCTAAAAAAAAAGCGTCTCATGCTGACAACTGGTATTGATTTGACGCTTGCACAGCTACCACATTAATTTTTGCACAACTATCGTGGTTAAAAAACATTTGTGTGTCTGGAAGTGAAGACAGCCCATCGAAACCACAATACCTAAAAAAGAAATGAAATAAATAAATAGAAACACATTGGGGATGACTGGCGCGGCGTCGACCCTAAATGCTACATAGATCATCATCTCCTTTTGTTATTATACATGAAAACATCGTACTGCGCTACCTTGACGCACACCGATGATACAACGGCTTCATCTCGTTTTATCTCGCAGACTTTTTTTGCTTTTTGGCCAAATTTGGTAAACACCACTGAACACCAGCTCACAACAGCCAACTCTCATTCCCCGACTCCCACGTCACTCACCGGGCGAGGTCCTGCCTTTGGTGTTGAGCCCAAAACAAACAAAAATCGGGATACACTTTGAACTCGAAAACCTTCAAAAGACGACGCCTGTGGTACTAAGTCTGCATTCAACAAATATTCATCCAACAAAATCGAGCAGCACTACTTACTACTACAGGTGAATAATGAATTGATTTTGCGTGAAAAGTCGGGTGAGATCCACGGAAAAACTCGAAAATGAGTTCCAGAGCTACAAAAAAAAAAAAAGATTTCAAAAAATTGACAATGAGAAAACAAAATTGAAACCTTATGGGAAAAATCTGACACGTAAAATAAATAAATAAATACAACGGTACAACAAAAGTGTGAGAGTATTAAAAATTCTGAAGCGTGATCACGTGGTTGATCATTCGGTGTCAAATTTTTGGTTATGTTGGGACAGGAGAACTGAACCGATCTCTGTGTGGGTCAATGGGCGCTGCAGCTCTCGTTTACTTTCTTCTTACTTTCTTTGCTTGTAGCGGACGTGCGTAACGTCATGCCTGGTGTGATGACGGCGTCTCGGGGAGCACTGGTGAAAGGAGAATGATTCTCTCCGCTTTCATCTATAACCGCTTCAAGGCGTAGGAGGCAGGAATAGCTGTTAGGATTGTCGATGTTTTATGTTATATGCTCTGTTGTATTGTTATGTTACAGCTGCGCTTTGTTATGTTTGTTATATGCATGGGCATATTGTACAAAACGCATTAAAAAAAAAAAACAATGTAAATAAATGACAGTTCTGACATGTTGGCTGTGTGCCTTTAAGGGGCGTGGCCTAGAGAGTCAGCGTCTACATTTGAGCTGTGGCCTACACAAGCTCCTTGCGAGTGTTTTCATTTTGCATTTGTGTTTTGGACCATTGGACTGTTCAAATTTTGGTTCCGAACCCAAAGCAAAAAAATTCGCAAGTCGAGATGCCGCTGTAAATCGTGTATGTAAAACTCCCCGTGCGTTCTATTCATTTCAAAACTCAATTTGTGCCTCGGGGGAGGTCACGAAGAGAAACAAAATGAACATCACGTCAGATATGAGGAGAGGAAAATCTTCAAGCTACAGAAATACATTTTGTTTTCAGGGTATTCAACTCATTCACTGCCAGCCCGGTAAAAATGGATCTTTGCCGTCGATGGCAATGACAGAGTTAAAATGAAAAAAAAATAACCTTTTCATTGGAATCATGACGAGGGGGAAGAAGAAGAATGCACGTCAGACGGCAAAGCGGCCAAGAACAACAGGAGCAGGATGGCTCGCTGACTGGCTGGCTGAGTTGCCGGATCGCTGCTTCCTACTAAGGAAGCGCTTTGAGGATGGCATTGACTTCTTCGGCCACTGTCGTCAACGCAAACGCAAACTGATCCTGTGGAAAAAAAAAAAATCACGTTAAAAAAAAAAAAATTGCGGACAGCAAATAAAGTGGTAAAATTTACCCATTTTTATCCATCTCAAGAGGCGGCCATTTTGCCATATGCTGTCCATTGAAAATGACATCACAGTGCACAAGGGTTCGGCTTGCCAGTGTCACATGACCAAAGCAAGACAACGGCTGAGCCATGATTGGTTGTTACCAAAACATTATTTTTCAGTCGACAGCAAGTGGCAAAATGGCCTCCTCCTGAGATCGATGCTGCTTCATTCATATTCTACAAAAACAATATTCATCGGAATGCCGTCTTTAGGGCCAGTGGGGCCACATTGAAGGTATTGTCGAAGGCATTGTTGACTTGAATTCCCCTTTAATGGAGTCACTGCTCTATTATGTTCCAACGGGCTGCCAGTGCTTGCTTTTTGATGCTTTTGCCTGACAATCGATGTCAATCCCAGCTATGCTCTTGACTTGCTCTTTTCAAGACGGGCCCCCAGCTGTGCATAGAGAAGCCGGCCCGCTGGGAAAGGGCCAGGATTTCCAGAGGACCACTCAGGCCCCGCATGTGTGTGATGGTGGCTGTACCTAATGAAGTGTCCCGTGTGTTGTCAGGCGTGTGCGTGAGTTTCTAACCTTGGTCTGCACCATGTCGGGTCGTTGGTCTCGCAGGTGCTCCAGCGTGGCCGCCATGTCCATCTCCTTGGCGCCTGTTCATTTTAAGAATCAGATGTGGCCCTTGAGCAAAACATGTTGACAGCCCCCCCAACCCCTCCCCCCTTTTCAGCGCAGCAAGAAGAAAAAGAAGCCGACAACGAAAAAAAATGCACAAGACAACTTAAGTGGATTGTTTGCAAGCAAGACGAAGTGCTCTTTTTCATCGCCTCCAATAAAAGCTCCCATAGAAGAATGAGAGGATGGGATGAGGGTGGGTGGGGGGATATTTTCACGGAGACCCCTCCGCTCTCCTCGAGAGAGGTTCCGGGGTTAGTGTCTGGAAAATAAAAAGATGGCAAAATGAAATGAAAGTGTGATGAAAAGCTTGCCACAACCTGATGGGTTTTATTCCTGGAGGAAGGGTTGCAGAGAGAAGAGGGTGGGTGGGAGCGGGGAGGGGGAGGATGAGGGTCTTAAAGGATTCGGGGGGGAAAAAAAAAAACGTCCTCTGTCCAACAACGCCGACATTCTAAAAAATGACAAAAAAGCAGAGCGGAAAGAAGCAAGCGCTCGAAAATGAGGTGGGGGGCTTCGGCACAAAAAAAATAGAAAAAAAAAAACAATCAATCAGCAACAAAAAAAGTGGTCCTCAAAAGTCAGAGGAGTTACGAGACATCACATGGTGGAAGTTGGTCAGACGGAACACTTCCATCGCATGCTTGATGTTCGCAGTCAGGTTATTGCTCATTTCTGACACTGTCTTACTCAAGTGTGCTGCTTTCGCAGGCAAAATCGTGACTGCTTCTGACGTCACTTTGTCTCATAGACCAAAATTTATGGGGAGAGATTTATCCAAATTCTCGCAAAAAAAAAAAAAAAAAATTGAGATAGGAAAATAGTGTGCTGCTATGCAGTTTAAATTTAAATATAACATTTTCATCATCTAAAAATAAAACTCTAACCCTACTTTGAAAGCTTAATGCTGCTTTGAAACCCTACCTTGAAGCCCAAGTTTGAAACCCTAACCCTAGTTTGAAAGCACATGTAGGAAACCCTAACCCTACTTTTGAACCCTACGCCTAGTTTGGAAACATTACCAACACCCCAATCATTTTCTTCTATGGCTACCACAGCTACTATATCACATCCTCCTTCGACCACCAATGCCAGCATGACGACTACCAATATTGCAACACTGCCACCCTCAAATCAGTGTGTTATAATTGTGTGTTGTTACATTGTAATGAATGTGTTATTACAAGATAGCAGCACATTATTGTATTATTATTATCATTATTATTATATGTATTTTTATAATTGGCTGTGTGGGACAATGGCTACAAGAGGAATAATGACATTATTATATCACTCGTGTTTACAAAGGCTGGCAGTAATTGCGTTCATTACGGGCCTTCTCTTCGATGGCAGTGGTGGTGGTGGTTTAACAATTTAGTTTGGATTTTACTCGCTGCATGAATGGATGAATGTAATGTGCAAATTGCTCGTAGCAAATGAAGTTTGGGCTGATGAAGTGAAGAGATTAAAATGTGTGGAATGAGTTTTGGGGGCTCAGCGGGCAGACGACGCAAGTGACAGGCAATTTGAAGGAAACGGAATTTGGGGATGGGTGTGATGTATTGTGCGGCCACCTTTTGCCATCCGGTTGAGGACCATGTCGATCAGGATGTACGTCCCGCTTCGGCCGGCGCCGTCACTGTAAAAGGGTAAAGGCAACAAAAAAGGAACGTTGATTGACAGCACACAGACATGAGAACAATAACAACAACAACAATAATAATAATAATAATTATAATAACAACAATAACAGTTTGCATTATATTTAGCTTTTTAGTTTGTTGGCTTTTGTTTTTTTAAGCATTTCTGTTTGGATTGTATTTTGTTTTTTCACAGAGTTGTACCCTTGATGGTCTATTAATGAATGAAGGGGGAATAAAATGTCGTGTTGATGTTGTTGCTACTTGCCTGCAGTGCACGATGATTGGGCAAGCGCGTCCACGGTAACACTTGTTCACCTTCCTGCAAAACACAACAACAACACAAGGAGGGGCTCAGCCACCAGGTCTTTGGAAGCTCGCCGTTAGGGAATCGCAATGAAAGGCGCGACGTGATGTGATGTAACAATACTCGTTGCAAAACGCTGATGCCTGAGTCCTGCCTCGTACAGGGGTGGGCAACTTCACACAATTTCTCACTAGCGCTACTATAAGGGGGTGGGCGGTGGGTTTTATAATGGACAACCCACTCTGAACCAGATGGGACCACAAAAATGCTTTTTATACATACACCCAAAAAAAAGTGCCAGCCCGCAAATAGCTAAAAAAAAATCTGTGTGTAGTGTTTCTTGCTTAAAGTGGGCACACCCCATTCATTTTCAGCATGCTGAATGTGAAAAACTGCAACAGGTGTGTGAAAGCGGATCACAGACATGCCGGTTCTATTGGGACACGCTGGTCCCTTTTGCATAAGCCCCTTTCAAACTGTCCAGCAAATCTGGCTTTTTCCTGGGTTGCTGTTATGTGTGAAACATGTCGACACGGAATGGAGGTATTCTGCCGGCAGAGGTAGTAGTGTCAAAGCTGATGCGTGGACGCTGGGGACCGGAAAAATTTTACACCAAACACTCAACTCTGTCTACCCAAGTCACAACTCACTGCAGTCAAAAGTCTCGTTGCCATGGAAACAGAGTGGGGTGGGAAGGGGGGCGCTGAGGGGGTGCGCTCACACCCTGCTAAGCCTTATGCCTTCGCGGAGAACAACAAGTTGACAGAAGGGTACATGCAAAATGGGCGCATCAGTGATGTCACAGTTGAGCCAATCTTTAACCACCTGTGCCTTACACACTGAGCGAGTGGCAGGTGTCTCATTTTGCAGGGATTCAGAATTACACAGCCACTGTTCCGCTTCTAATGCTACCTCCAAGGGCAGAATGCCAACTCAACCACCCAATTCAGTGGCAGACCCTTTCACACAAATCAGTGACCTGGGAAAAAAAATCGGGTTTTGAAGGGTAATGTAAAAGGGGCTTGTGTATGTTTGTCTATTTGAATCATACAATAAACAGATCACACAAAAGTGGCGCTTCTGAAGCGTAAGGGTAGAGAGCCCAGGCGCTAAGTGGGATATGGCATGTCGGTGTTAAAATCTATACTGCAATACACCGTTTCATGCAGAGACTTTCACACAGAGACAGCATTTGAATAATGGGATGATGGTCTGATGAATCTATCGTTACCTGACTATAGCAATTGTTTTCAACACAAAATGGTGGGGGAAATGATTGTCAGGTGTTAAATCTTCACAGCTCCTTATCCCCTTTCACACAGCGGCATGGCATCCCGCATTTGGATAAATAGATGACAGTAAGCATTTTTTTTAAACAATTTGCCAAACTAAGAAACTTCCAGTGACTACCACATTTACACAGCACAATTATCTGGGCTTTGCCTTTTCCGCAAGAAATTAGAAAGACTAACTTTCGAAGAGCAATATGAAATATGGAAATTTAGATGCGGTGTCAGCGCTAGTGTTTGGTAAAAAAGAAAAACAGTTGAATGCCGGTGACGATTGCTTCCAACACAGCAGAAGGTGAGTCTGAGTGCTGGGAGTTAAACTTCACACCCTCATTTTGGATCCCCGCTCTACCTTTTCACACAGGCGTTGTCCCACCTGAGTTACGCATCTCATGCTCCCTCTAAAGGCGGCAAGTTATTGTCTTGAACCCCCGCCCACTCCAAGTTTGTACCTTTCACACAGAAACCAAACAGTATTTATCTCCTCTGTTGGATTTCACACAGGAACTGACAAAACAGGACATTGTGTGCTTTCACACAATGACACAGAATTCCGCTGTTTCAGTTTCGTGTGATGTATGAATGTATCAGACAGCAACAATTGCTTTCAACATAACAGGCAAGGTGAAGCGGATGTGTGAAACCTCACATCCCATTACTGTTTTTTTTCCAGTATCCCCTTTCACACAGCCGTGGTTCCGCCTCTGATATTACCGCGGAATCTGACAAAATAGTCGGTCAGCCCCCCTGTTCCAAGTGGAACCAGCAACCCGGTAAAAAAGCTGCAACTAATCCAGCTTTTGACGGACAGCGTGAAAGGGGCTCAGGTGACCGTGTAGGCGTGGGAGAGGAAGGCAGGCCAAGCATGAGTAAGCAAAAGGAGGGAGAGCGCTCATCTCGGGTCATGCGGCCCCCTCAGTTGCAGAATCACAGTCTCCAATGATCACTTTTGTGACTATGCAACTGGGCTCATATTACTAGCTGCAACATCACAAAAATGACACTGGCAACCGCTAGTTAGCCGGTAAAAAGGGGGAGGGGCAAACATGCTGTTGGGGGGCGGGGGTAGAAGCTTGTTTCCACGGTAACCATGCCGACCATTTTGTCTCCGATGATGTCACCTCCGATGATAATGGGGACCATGAACCCGAAGTGCCAAGTCAAATAAAAAGGTTTTAAAAGTTCAGCCCCCAAAAGCCAGTTTGACAGAGCAACATGAAAGTTGGTCGACATGTCTATCATGGATGGACCCAAATAAAAAAAAAGTCTCAGGAAACCTTCCCAGGAAAGAAACAGGATGTCTGCTCGTTTGGTTTGAAAAAGCCATTTTAGGGTAATAAAAAAAAAAAAAAATTATATTTACAAGTCACCCACATGAATTTTTTTTTAGAATTCAGCCCCCAAAAGCCAGTTTGACGTAGCACCTCATTATTCGGTAGGCATGTCAATTATAAATTGATGCACAAAAAAGTCTCAAGTAGACATCCAGGAAGTCTACCATTTTGGTTTGAAGCAGCCACAAATTTTAGAGGTCCCTCCATCTGTACTCCAGTGCGACACGATTTATAGGGATGATTGTAGAAATTGAAATTAAAATTAATAATTCATTTTGCAATTAAATGTGGAGGCTATACTGCGAAACCACTGCCAAGGCCCCTGCGTCAACGGGTGCTTTTTTTTTTTTCATTTAAACATTTCAGCTCGTATCTCACTGAGCGGTGCAGGTTTGGTGTGTGTGTGTGTGTGTGTGTGTGTGTGTGTGTGTGTGTGTGTGTGTGTGTGTGTGTGTGCGTAGTTTCGTCAGCATTCACTTGAGACACTCGCAAACAGTTTATCTTGTCGGCATTAAATTTTGAGAGCCCTGATGGGTGAGCGGCGTTCGCCGCACACACGCGGACCTTTGCCGCTCCGTGAGATATGGGCTAATGTTTTTGCTGGCTAGCAAAAAAAAAAAAAAAATAGATGTTAGCCTAATGTTACTTGTTAGCTTGATTGTAATGGCTCGGCAGAGAAGCTTCAACTTTTCTTCCATTGACAACAACTTAATGACCGAACAGACAACATCATGGTAAAAAAAGAAAGGTCCTGTTTGGCAGCAACTGCCCGACACTGCAACAGACCGACCAGAGTGAAAGACAAAAGAGACGTTGCTCAATTAAATCTTGTTGGCTCAACTTTAAAAAAAAAAAAAAAAAAAAAACACAAAAAACAAACAAAAAAAAAAAAATGCAGCGGTAGCATCAGCCCTACATCTGCCTTTCCGTCACTGCCCCATATGACAGTTGATCGAGTCTTCCTGAGGTTTAAAGAGAGGTTTAAATTTAATCTGTTTTATTTTAAACTAGGATTAAAATTTGGTGCAACAGAATTTAACCCTTTCAGGGACAGCGGTTACGAGAGTGGACAGCTTATCATCTTAGGTTACAGGGTGCAGGAAAGGGTTAAACTGAAACCATGATTTCATCTTGTTTAAAATTGAACCTTGGTGGTGCAATCCGACCTCAATGGTCAGCCTGCGTTGTACTATGAAAGACCCGTGAAACCATCTTTAAAACATTTTTTGGCAGGAGGGGGCTAAATCTTGGGTTGAGAGCTGAGTTCCCTACCTGCGGAAGTCCAGGAGGGTGCGACTGGTCTCGGGTACGTTCTGGTTGAGCCAGGTCAGGAAGTGGAACTGCGTGACTGTACGCGTCTCGTTGGTCTGCATGTTCTTCAGGTAGAAGCTACGTACCAGGAAGTCATCGCACCAGATGTGCTCCGACACCAGGTTAACCTGTGACGCGCAAACGCGACAAAAACTCAAGCAACCATAACAACCATCAAAAAAATTTCCAAAGACGGGTTACGCCAATCCACTAATGATACGATACAATAATAATAGTAGAGTGCTCGTTTCCCAACCCCGAGGTTGGTGGTTCGATGCCCGGTCATTGCAACCACGTCCTTGAGCAAGATACTGATGCTGCGTCATCAGTACGTGAACGTGGTAATAATCTCAAGCGCGTTACGTACCCGAGGTAGAAAATCGCCATGTAAGTGACAGTCCATTTATCAATTACAGTACGATCCCATGATTCCAATAAAAATGAAACGATTCATTCCAATTTGAATTCAATTTGAATTCAATCCAACTCGGATGCGATTCACTCTGACTACGATACAAATAATTCCCGTTATTTGCGATATGCTTCATTCCAAATTACAATGCCACGAGATTTACTCCGATTGCAATACGAATCATTCTAGCGACCATACGATACATCAACATTGAACAAATCCCGAAGGCATTTTTGGCCACAAAATCTTGACGTAAAACGGGGCATCTTTCGTATACCTTTTGACGCGAAAAAAATTTTTTTCACTTGCGACGGCGTTGAAGATGACGCCCTTTGATCTCAAATTGTATCTGTCACATACTTGGCTGTAGTTACGATAGTGACTTGATGCCAAGCTGTTTTGGTTTTTTTTCATATCCCTAAAAGACCCAAAACTCAAAAACTCCTGAAAAAGTTACAGAGGAGTTGCGCATACCTCGTAGATGTGGTAGAGATTGGAGCCCTCATCAGGCCAGTAATGGTAGCACTGTTTCACGCCGTTTTCCACCAGCGGCGTCAGCATGACGATCACCACGCAGCCGTTCTCCCAAACCATCTGAGGAAAAAAAAAAAACACGGGCACCCATTGTCAGGAAGTGACATCAAAGTTTCCTAACTTGTGGTTGAAACGAGGCTTTACCTGCCAGAAGTCGGCCACGGTGGATGGCAACGGGCCTTGCGTGGCGATGTAGGCGGGGTTACGAGGGTCATGGTCCATCTGCGGGGAAGACAAAACGGCAACCGTTTGTCAACATGATCAGTAACAATTATTCTACTGAATAAGGATTCAGTATTTATCTTCACAGTAATGTTTCATATATTTGTAAAAAAAAAAAAAAATGCCCCATATTATTTTTATAATTTTCAATTTTTTGTCACTCTGATTAATATTCCCTCAAAATGTTCCTAACATTGACATTGTGTATTTGAAAAATCTTTTTCCAAAATTTTCCTTGGTTTTCTTAGACTCTAATGACCTTTTCAGTGGAATTCCTGCTTCGTTTTCATAATAGTCAGGCTTTTGGTTTGGAAACATTACATTTACAAGCTCTTCATTGAACAACATTTGCGCCTGTTCCAGGTAATAGACTGCATCTTTGTGTACATGTTCCACAGATTGATTCCCACAACGGCGTTGTTGTTGTTCTGCCTGGAGGGGGAAACAAGGGCCTATAAATCCCAAAGAGCTTCTCTAAAAAAAAAAATAAATAAATAAAAAAATCTTCAGTCAGCGCGACAGGAAAGTAAACCAAACGGCTACCAATTAGCACGGGCCAAGGTGAAAAACGAGTCTTTCCCCAGGGGCTGGATCCATTTTTGTTGCTCACGTCGACACTGGCCGGCGGTCTTGGTCATGAATATTTACCAGGCGGGATGCTCCGTTTGGACGGACGGAAGTGTGTTTGTGTGTGTGTGTGTGTGTGTGTGTGTGTGTGTGTGTGTGTACGCGCGTGCTTACAATGGGGCTGGCGTTGATGTAGTCCGAGTTGCCTTGGCTGTTCTCCAGTCGCAAGGTGATGCGGCAATGATCATCTGGGAGGGAGAGATGTGCAGTTGAGGATGTTTGCCTTCGATAATTCATCACATTTCGCTTCAACCAGAGTCTGCATTTTTCATGTTACATACACAATATGAGATATACAGACAGGAAAATGATGATGAAGGGTTCATGAGACAGACGCTTATGGTGGACCACTATACTCATTAACTTGTGTTGAATCAAAAAAATGTTAGTGTCTATTCATGGCTTCAGACATTTTGCTGAGACAGACGCTTATGGTGGACCACTATACTCATTTCAAAACATCATTTCAAATGATGTTTTAAAAACATTGCTCATGTTATAATTCAGATTAAAATCTGACACAAGTTTTCTCCTTGTAAAATGATGAGGTTAAGGTAGAGGGTTCGATTGTCACCCAGTGGCCTCTTAGTGCCAAGCAACTGTGTGGTAATGCGCGAATGGGCTTTATTTAGTCAGTCCATAGCCCTGTTTAATAGAAATGTCGTGCTTTGCCAGTTAAAGGTTGCAAAACGTCGAGTTTACAAAACGGCGCTTGAATCATTTGCAGGAATACAACAACAACAAAAAACTAAAAACCCCTCCAGGTCCGAATGATTTCAAGCGGGTTCAATGACGTCCACCTCATGTCTGTGACCTTTTGCATCTCTCTTTGGCCAAACATTTCCTGACATTTTCATTTGCCAGCCTCAGGCACTTTTATAATACGAAGTAGAAATGATTGGTGATGAAGTGCCAACAGGTCAGGCAGGCTGCCTTTCATTAAGCCGAACACATTGAAACTCCATTTTTTTTTTTTTTTTTTGTGGAAATGGTCTCCTTCCTTCTCGGAATGCAGTGAATCATTGATGAGGTCATAGTAGCAGGAGTTTTAATAGAAGCTGCATTTAAGACTTGGCTGCAGTTTTGGCCAGGGTCCCAACCCACCGTGTTAGGACAATTTTGTAATATTACCATTAAGAAAAAAAAATCATATTTTACAGAGGACAAATGTTATTAAAAAAGAATAAAGTCCTAACTTTTACAAGGATAGACATATTTTGTTGAGGTATAAAGTAAATTTTACCAGAAGTTGTACTTTTGCAAGATAAAGTGGTATTAAGAGAACAATCTTATTTTTAATGAGAAAAAGTCACACTACTATGAAAATAGTCATATTTTTCCATGACGTTAAAATATGATAAAGTTGGATTCTTCCAACATAGTCGTAATACTCTGATAAAAGTTCAAATTTAATGAGGGAAGGAAGTCACATTCAAAGCCCAATAAAGTTTTTTTTTTTAACGTAAAACAAAATTCAATATGATGACATTAAAGTCAAAGTTAAAAAAATGTCTCTCTGAACTTTCTCTTTCCAAATATTCTGCCTTTTGATCTCAAAAATAGGACTTGATTTCTGTTAGAATAAACCGAATGTTCTAAAAAATAAGAATTTCTTGCTCCCGATTTTATCTCCCCGCCTCTTTCTTTTTTTCGAACTTGGTCTGCTTTATGGGAGGTTACAGGTGTCTTACAGGCCACCACGGCGAGCGATCGGTTCTTCTTCGCGTTGCCATCCTTCAGGCCAACCGTGCAGGCGTTGGGCTCGGCTTGATAGGCACAAAGCGCCTCCCATTCCTTCTCCAAGCGGTTCTTGTTCTTCAGGTGGTCCTCCATGTACGACTGCGGGTAAGGAGGATAAACGCAGTTAGGATTCAGGGATGCTCACGACCAAAAGAAGCGGAACTGCAATGGCAGGAAGGAACATCCTTCAAAATGGACGATGGGGGACTAAGGATTCGAGGCACGGTGAAAAATTCATAATGTGGACAAAATGAGACATTGCTTTTGTGCAACGGCGAACAAATAAATGCACAGGATGGACCCTCAAATCTTAAACTTCACCCTCATGTGAACACCACTTGTTTCAAATTTCAAGACAGTTCACTCTTATCTCCGCTCCACGGCTCGGCTTTCTCACCCCAAGCTAATATGAAAACCACGAGTGTCTAGAGTCTGAATTGTTCTTCAGACTCAAATCAGATTCAGGTCATCCCGTATCTGTTTGAGATGTCCCCGCCCCTGCCAACACACCTGATTCAAATGGTCAGGATCGTTATGAGGCTTGAATCAGGTGTGCTGGAGGAGGGAAACATTGTAAACAAGCAGGATTACGGCCCTCGTGGACCGGAATCGGGAGACCTACGATCTGGGCCCTGTCACCCATTTGCCAGTTTCATCAAAATTTGCCATTGGGAATTTTTTAGGAAAACACCTCAATCCCATTTCCACCTTACTTATCGAATTACCATCACCAAATGTCTATGCCCCATCATATTTCAACCCAAAGACCAAAGTGTCTCGGACCTGACTTTTTCAGACTCTAACCACCGGTGCAACTGCTCCAGGAAATCTCCAGCATTGGCACCGCAAATGCCGAGGCTCCATCACATCTACATATTTGAGTTTCTAGTCCTTGAAATGTCACCACCCATCACCAGTTTCCAGGCGCTAGAATCTAGTCACAAGCCAAGACCTCAGTATCTGGGATCCAAGTTCTTGTTTAGATTAACCACCGGAGTCTCGGATCTGGGAAATCATTACCCGTGATGCCATTCGTGTCTTGGGTGTATCCCATCTCCTCCGTGAGAGTCCTGATCCCCGGAAGCAGCACATTCATGACTTCTGAGGCCAACTGATCTTTTTCTGTTCTTGTTACGGTCAAATAGTATGCTAAAGTGACTTATTTTGGTCCCTCCTTGTTGATGATGAAACACACAACACACCTTACACAATCCGCTAAAATATGATCACCCCACCCCCCCTGTCCCCCAAAACTCACTCAACACCCGCCCTCAGCCACCCTAATGCCGGAGTAAAAGGGTTTTGTGGCGGCCTAAAGGGATTACTGCAATCCAATCAGGAGATGCTGAGATCACCATGTGTCGTCCAAACACTCAATAATCCCCTTAGAGGGAGGAGGGGCTTATCCGCAATAAGACGCAATAAGACGCCATTGTAGATCTCGGAGCATCTGGAAGAAAACCTGGACGAGATGTGATCAAACGTAGACAATACCAACTTTGATCATGCCAGGCATTTAAAATATCTTGTGTGGAATTGTGTGATTAAATATTTTGGTTCTCTCCAGATTAAAAAAAAAAAAAAAAAGAAAAATCACCTTGGATGGCAGTGGATGGAAACACACATCAGGGTGGTAGTGGTTGATGAACAACTGTGACATTAAGATCAATTAATATAAGAGAAAATAACATTTGAATAGCTGTCCACTCTAGTAACCACTGTCCCTGAAAGGGTTAAAAACAGAAATTAACTTTGAACTTCGTAAAATGTAGTCATGTCATGATAAAGTCTTGTTTTTATTGTTTCAAAAAGGGTAATAGTTGTTCTCAATGTCCTTACGTGATTAAATAAAGATTCGACAAATGAATACTAATTTATTTGGGATAATGAAAATAACAGCCGCATGTTTTTTTTTTTTTCAATTCAAAATTAATCTCTCATTCACCCTCCGAGGCAGAAGATGGTGCTGATGCAGCACCGTATCGGCTAGTGGCTACTGAAATTAATGAATATAAAAAACAAACAGAAGGAGAAAATTGAGCATAGTCTCAGTAGAGTGGACGTTGAAGCAACCGGAGAGCCTGTCGACATTTTTACTCCCCTACACGGCAGCTGTCAGCGTCCTTGGACTTAATGTATAGTTTGAATCTATTGAATTTCAGTGAGACTTGATTAAAGGAAATGTCAATCATTTGCCCAAGAAAACTGTTTTGATTGAAATGTGTCATGGTTTTAATTTCTCTTGTGTTGTTGCGGTTTCCTGCAAGAGTGGAGGGCGTTCCCTCCAGCGTCGCACCTGTCAGGCGTTGCAATCAAAGGACTTTGAAAGGATTTTGACTCCGGCAGTCACCTGTCAGATTATTCAACCTTGCTCACGAGCCTAGTGCCGACTATTTGACTCTCTTGACATTCTTGTTCATGTTTCATAGCTCTCTAGTTTCCGTGCTTTATTTTCAAGTAGAAGTATTGATTATGTTTCGTTATTCATCCTCAATTTGTTTTGCGTAATTAGACTTCCCTTTCACTTTGTTACAGGTGATTTTTGTGTTATTTATTGTCCTTGCCGTTTACAAGCGCTTGGTGTTTATTTCGTTTTATCCTGGCTCTTTCTTGCCAGCGGCTTTTGTTGTACTTTGTCGAGAGAGAGTTTTTCTAGAATTAATCTTTTTTTAATTGTCCATGCCTACGTTTGTGGGATCCCATTCTTATTGATGCGATTTTTCTTGTACTTAAGCGCCATCAAACTGTTAATTCGAACAAATACAAAGACAAGAAAATACTCTGGAGGCACATACGTCTGATGATGATGATGGTGTTTGGCCGACTTTCTCTAGTTTCTAGCACATGAAAGCCATTTTGTTGTTTTTTTTTTTTTAAATATAAAAACAAAACACACTAATATATAGCGGAGACTTTTTTTTAATTCCAGTGACAATATTTTTACTACTTCAGCTCATCTCCATCAACCTGTCGCTCATGTTGCAAACACAATATATCTATTTTTTAAATTCCTTGATCCCATCGACTACCTGACGACCAGTCGCCCGTCCTGACCCACTTGACCTGGCAACAGATCGCGTCGCAGCTGTCAAAACGCAAACAAAACGAACCAAAACAAAAATCAAGCGCAGGGGCTAATCTGTGCGCAGTACGATCTCCAACACTCGCCCAGGCCGCAACAAAGGACAAGATAATGTGCTTTATAGAGAGAGTCCACTAATCCTCTTAAGACACAGGCAGAGAGGATGTGTGTGGGGGGGGGTAAAGCAGGGTTGGAGGTACAGAATGGGAGGAGGGACTCATGGGAGCCAGTAATACATTAACATAAGATAAGCGGCTGAAAGCTGCTTCAAATTTTAAAAAAAAAACAGCGACCACGTGACAACATGGAAGTGGGCGGCTTTGGAGGAGGTGGTGGTGGTCCTTGGAGGTGGACCTGGGGGCCCCACTTTTATTTATCACTTTTGCCTCGCCGCGCAGCAAACGTGATAAAACACACGGAGGAACACATTTTGGTTCTTTGTTGTTTTCTTCGGGGTAACTGCTGGAACGGCGAGTGCAAGTTGTGGTAAGAATGGTGAGCAGGAAGCGATGTTAAGGTGCGGTCGAATCAAATTGCATTGCTAACGGAATTATTCATGGTTACGTTGGAAGGGAGGAGTCAAAAGCAATGTGAGGTCATGTGCCACATGCTGCTTCATCAAGACTAAGGTATTATCGCCAGATCACATGGAGAGAGAGAGAGAGAGCAGCGGGTTTTGGTGCATTTACATTACAACAAAAAAATTGTGGCAGTTGATGGGAGTTTCTGAATCAACTTTCACACAGCCTGGCAAAAGCGCCATAGCCCTCAAAGTGGAAAAGAGATGGACGGGATGGTGACTACGTGAACATTTCTGACAGAGAAGAGAATATCATTCTTTACCTGCTTCTGGGGTAGTACCAGAACTGTAACAGAGGCATGAAAGGTGCCGAAACAGAGCGCCCAATGAATTTGAGCTGCAAAGTTTCCTGGTTTCGGATTAATACTAGCAAAGGTGTTAATCCAAAACTGATGGAAACTTTGTAGCAAGACAGAACGGGTATGTAAGTCAAGCTGTAAATTTCTCACCTGTGAAAGGCTTCATTGTGTTGTGTTATGAAATACGCTTTAAACTGCAGTGAGATATTTGACAGCATTAGAACAAAGGCAGCATAACCCGCTGGCTAGATTTGACATCACTCCTGCTCCTCTGGCGTCTCTCCGGAGAGCACAAAGACAATTTTGCTTTGATGTTTTTTCTTAAACTCCTCAGTGGGCAGCTGCGACCGTTTGGACCTTTTGAAAAATTTATAAATCATAATCTTCTTTTCGAGTTGCTACACGTAGAAATGTTTCATCCACAGATTCAGACTTATTTTTACACAGTCAAGTTTAGTTTAACGACATCTTTATTGCAAATAGTTGCATGACTTGTCTTCCTCGTCTAGATTCTGGCCTGTTTTAGTGCCACTTCACCTAGGTGATGGTGTTGGCTCTTATGTGAACTGTGGGCCTGTGAAGCCCTTGAAGATTTTTGGGTGTTGTTTAGATTGGCCTCACTTGCAATCTGGATCTGATCTGGATTAAATTTGCCTTCCACATTTGACGAGACCCAAGTTTTTACTCATTATCTTTTTATTGGTGTTAAGTGCTGGATCAACTGCACAATTTGAATCAAATATGGGCTAAACGCACTTCCATTTGACCATGATCAATGGCACTTGACACATTGCACTTGCTGGCAACGGTGCAATCTGGAGCACAACTGGATCGAAACAGCACAAAAAAAATATATTACGGACAACCAAATATGTTTTATGAAATAAACAAATAGTCATAAAACCTAAATAAAGAGACACAGTTCCTATTGTCGAGTCCTATGCTTTCTATGAGACTGCAACAGAAGGTACCGGTGATGTCACTGCGATCTGACCAATCAGATCAGCCATGCATAATGCATGCGAGTGGCGGAGCTTAGTGGCTCGAGCTTGAGGGGCGTGGGTGGCAGAACGGAGCCGCTATGCGATGTAATTACGTCGCCGCTTGGCAGAAAGCCTGCAAGGGAGCTCCTCGGTGGGGGGAAGCGGTGTAGTGGGGGGTAGGGCGACTGGCCGTGATGAAACAAAACGATGACGAGGAAGATGAAAAGGAGGAAGATTAGGAGGGTTTCAATGCTTGATATTGTCTTAAATTGTCATTTGACATTGACCATTTACACTGCTGACAATTAAGCGATCTGGATCATAATTGGATCAAACCTGGTTTGATATGACATGGCTTCTAATCATGAGTACACATTATACTTGGTTCAAATTTAATATATATTTGGGGATTTTATCTTTTTGAAAATTGCCGTCCAATTTCGAACACACATTTTATTGAACTCAAACCTTTGATTAAAAATTGTTTCACGCAGCGAACAAAAAGTCCATACTCCTGGTATAATTTAAAAAAAAAAAACGTTTTCCTACCATTGACGAGAACTATAACCTGTACAAGTCAAGCGAAAAAGAGAAATTTTTCGGGAACTGAACTTAGATGGCGTGATTTGCGCAAGAGTACACAATCAATTAAGATGTCAACTTTATAATTGTTTTTTTTTTTTTTTATTAATCACTGAATCGGATAAAAAAAAAAACATTTGAATTCCCATGCTTCATTCAAAACCAGGAGCCTGTTTCAAATTGACAGAGTTGATGGTTTTCCAAAACAAAAGATATTTTTAAATTGTTTTATTTTGATTCATCAGGTCTAATCAGTCGTCGCTGATGGTGCCGCGGCACACTGCCCGGTCTCGGGTGCGGGCAGCGTGAGATCGGTTGTCACTCAGTGACGGTGTGAATTTGTCTCTGTATGGGCCTTGAGACTGACCGGCGACCAGTTCAGGATGTATTCAGCTAAGCTAGGCTCCAGCAACTCCCCATGACCCTCTTCAGGATAAGCGGTGTTAAAGATGGATGAATGGATATTATCAACCTGATTTCATTAAGGACTACAGACACCAGAGGACATTTACTGATGAGAAGCTATAATTGAGAGGATTTTGAAAATTTTACATGAATGTCTCTTAACGATGGAGCGGTTATGAAATTTGTTGTCAATGCATTTGCTAATTGATGAGATTATGATTGATCGATTAATTGTTGAACCTCTGCAATTAACACATCACATTCAAATTCCTGTTAAAATAGGAGCCAGCACACACCTGCTAACATTTTAAGGGCCTCTGATAGTCCACAATAATAAATCAGAAGTCCGAGGAGTAGTTTTGAATTGTCACTTTTTATATCCCCAAATTCTGACATTCGAACAGGGGTGCGTTGACTTTTTCTAAGCACCGTATAGCTGCTTACCAGGATCATGTGGCCGGTGGAGATGTCCATGTTGGGTTGTGCGGGCTCCTCGCTCCAGGACGAGAGGCTGCTTCGGGCCGACGGGCTGACGGCTGAAGCGCCCCCGCCGCCGCCGTCGCTGTACTGCGAAGACACGCTGTTGATCCTGGACGACGTCGGTTCCGCACGATCCGCCGGCGGCTTGACCGCCATGCGTTGACGGCAGAGCTCCTGTCAAAGTCAGCAGATTAGCACGAGTGGTGTATTTGGAGCAAGAAAATGTGCATTTAGTGATCACATGTTCAACCAAGGTGGCTTTTGACCAACTTTTGAGGCCACGCACCCCTTTTCAAAATCTTGACATGAGGCGGGGCACATCCCCTCGACCCCGCCAAACAACATAGCATCAAAAACAAACCATCCTCATAGTCAATAAAGGCGTTTAGATGTTTAATCATGGAAACATGATCAAACCACGTGTCAAAATACTCAAAACCTGCTCCTTTTATGAATTGCTTGTTTGGATGTAATTCTATTTTTTTGTAACTCGCACAAAGAAGGGAGGAGTGCAAGGAAGAGAGGAGGAAGAGAGAAGGGAGGATGGAAGGAGAAAAGAAGGATGGTATGCAAACAAGGATGTAAACTGGAGGTCGGACTGAGAAAAGGTGGGTATGAAAAGTGGTGAAAAAGGAAACAAGGATGGTATGACAGGTAGGAAGAAAACAGCTTGAAGAAAAAATGAGGAAGGCAAGGAGGAGGAAGGAAGGTTGAAAGGAAATGGAGGAGGGATGGAAGGAATGAGGGAAGGAAATGAGGACAGTTACGACAAAATGAAAGAAGAAAGGAAGGGAAAAGTGAAGAAAGGAAACAAGGAAATTGGGAAAGGAAAGAAGGGAGGAAGGATGGATAAGGAAGGAAGTGAGGGAGGATACAATGATATGAAAGAATGGAAAGAAAGAAGGAAGGCAAAAAGGGTGTCCAAAAAGAAAGAAGGAAGGCAGGAAAGAAGAAGAAGGTAGGAAGGAAACAACTATGGCATAAAAGGAGAAAGACAGAGGAAGGATGGATTGGTGGATGGAAGGAAACACGAATGCATGAAAGCGAGCAAAGAGGGAAGGAAACAAGCAGCAAACCTCTGAGCTGAGCTGAAAGTGGATCCCAGAACAGCTTGACTGTGACGCAGATGTGCCAACCACGACCCCACAGGGCTGCCCTTATTTATAGACTCTTCTGAACATCTATCTCTTCAATGACTTTTTAAGTTTGGCGGCAAATGTAAACTTGACATTTTTCAACCCAGACGGCCAATTTTAAACAAAACAACATAAACAGGTTTGGGGTTGCCATGACAACATGTACACATGCTCCGGTGGGACTCTTGACACGCATGTGCGCTCTGATGACCTCCTTTCACCAATCAAGGAAATGCCACACTGCAGCCTCCCTCCACCCTCCATGTGAACACAGTGCCAAGCAATCCCCCTGGCAACCTAAAAAGGGAACGTTCGGCGTGTGCCACCCTAATTAGCACCAGCCGCTGACCCCTCGATGAGGAGAAGGCGTGGCAAAACATGGAACCCAACCGCATGTTCGCATTCACAGTCACCCTACACCAGGGGTGTCAAACTCCTTTCACATTGTGGGCCACATACAGACTCGGGAGATGTCAAGTGGGCCGAACCATTAACATGATACCATACTGTTCTATGAATCACCAAAATCTCATCTCTTTCCTTTGTTTTGGTCTCAAGAAGCATTGATTTGTGCTTTCATATCATTTGCTGCATTGGGTCTATCTCAGTGACAGACTGAGACTGCTGTTTTCTTCCCCGATCAAAACAATGTTGTCTTCTGCTGTGATCAAAACAGTGTGCCCCCTAGCGGATAATCCACGAATTGCATTTTATTTAAAATATTCATTCTGTGTCTTTCATGCATTTTTTTTCCACTTTTAAATTATCCCGCAGGCCGGATCGAACCTCGTTGGGGGCCGGTTCCGGCCCGCGGGCCATATGTTTGACACAGCTGCCCTACACGGGGCCACGTGCAGACCTTTGACATGAATGCATTTAAGGAAGAGAGGAAACAAAGAATGGATGGGGAAAAAAAAGAAAGGAAGCATGCAAAGAAGGACAATGGAAAGTAGGACCGGGGCAGCACGCAAAACATCCACATAAAATTGACGGCCATTGAGATGCGTTGCGTGGTGCAAAAAAGTTCTCGTATGGATTATTTTTTTCTGCCAAATATCGGCAATAACCTTGAAAAAAATCCATATTGCCTCGATCCTAATTTCCGCATCTTGCTCGTCAAGTGCACCTCCAAAATATATTTACTCATCCGACCATTGCCGCGTAGCCCCTAAACTGTGGCGCACTTCCCTGGCGTTTACCTGGTAGGTGGCGGTGGCATCTTGTCCGGCGTCCGTTCCCAAGTTGCTGAGTTTCTCCTTGAGTTTGTGGTGCGACCTGTGCCGCAGGCAATAAAGCACGCTCGACGCCAGCAGCACGCCGGCGATGCACAAGATGGACGCCACCGTCAGGGCCAGGAACTTGGTGGACTCGGCCTGGCTGTACTTGCCTGGGATCGCCGAGATCTCGCTGCCCTGCGACGCCACACAAACACACAAAAAATATTCACAAACCACTCTAGCAAAAAGAAATGAATTCCAATTAAAATAGAAATGCCCAAAATGCTGCGAACTGCCCTTTTAAAAATCAAAAACTACAAAACACACCTCCTTGTGCGCAGCAGCTGAAATACCAACGGCTAGTCTAACATGCCTCTGCGCAGATTTAGTCCCTGCGGTACGCCGGATTTGCGCCAGTCACCAAAATAGAGCCCGATAGGTTAATCTCATCGGAACAGGAAATGAATTTGAAACTCCTGGTTTGCTCCTCAGCTTTTTGGTCATTAATAATGGCAGCGATGATGACACATTTTAATGACTCGGATTTTTGGGGGGGTCTGAACCTGAAGCGTCACGGGAGCAGCCTCGTCCTTTCCGCAAATGTTCTATTCACACCATCAACGACGCAGGCGCCATGAGGAGGATGTGTCATTTCGAAAGGTCCGGGGGGTGGTGGTGAGGGTGTCTGTATAAGAGGGTTCCATTGAGCCGGTGCAGAATAATAATAGACCCCCATGTGTCATTTTACCTGATGGCGGTGAACAATATGCGACGTAATTACGCGCTGCAATCACAGACAGACAAATTGCAGTCCGCCTGAAGAATAATCATCCCACGGAATAGAAAAAAAAAAAAATCACCCCCAAAAAGATAATAATCATTTTGCACAAAAAAAAATCTTTTCACAA